GTGGCGTCCCGCAGTTCTGGCAGTTTCATATGAAAAAGGTGACCAGGTCCTGCAGACTCATCCAGATATGTGTGAATTCACAGGACAGGTTCTGGACAGATTTGACAGATCGGGTATAATAACTGAACAATTATTAATACTTCAGTAGTAATATCATGAATAATTTCAAGCTACATTTAAAATCTAATTTAAACCCTTCTGCTAATTAAACGATTCAGTGATACTGCTCCACCTAGTGGTACTACTTTACCTACTTCATGACTATTTTCTTTATTCCCAGCGGGTGTCTAGCGCAGTGCTTCACAGTCTGATCCTCGGGGACCCCTAGCCAGTCCAAATTTTTTTGCTCCCTGCCAGACAGTCCACGTTTTTGCTCCCTGCCAGACAGTCCACGTTTTGGACTGTCTGGGGGAACCGAAGGACCAGTTTGAGAAACGCTGCCAAGCATGGGAGCCCCCCCGCCCCACCCCCCGCTAGCATGGTGATCATGCTCAGCTTACAATTGTCCCGTAACACATGACGCCAGATGCCTGAACCGACCCGGAGTGGGGGGTGACATCACCAGGGGACAGTGACAGCTGGTGCTCAGTGACGTGCGGCTGGCATCCGAAGCCCCTGCTCGCCATTGTCTCTGTGGGTGACGCGGGGGTGAGTGTGACCCCGGTGCATTCAGCCATGATGCTGGGGAACAGCACATGTGTCAGACACGGGGGGGGGGGGCGCTAAGCCATGGTCATGTGCTGCTCTTACAGGTGACTCAGGAATCGTCAGTCTGCCTCATTCAGTTCGTTAGATTAACGAGAAACACAAAGTCCCACTAATTAGCTGGTGGCCTTTCCGTCTCTTTATTAACTAGATCTGTTTATGCTTGAAGAGACTTTCTGCTGGGACTGTGCACCCCCCATGCATCCGCCCCCCCCCCCCGAACATTATGTCGTGTGGACGTCAGACGTGTTTCTGCTGCCCTGCAGGAATCGTGTCTCTGTCCCTCTAGGTGTGCATCAGTTTGCGTTGTAGCTGGATATTAATTTGCATTGTTCCGGAAAGCAAATCCCACGCAGGCCGGCTGCTCATCCTCATGCATTATTTACTACCCAGTGCCACCATCCTCCACCAGCTTTTGTTTAACTGCCCCCACCTCTAAAGCCCCTGGTTGTAAATAAATTTGGTGCAAACCCACTGGGGCCATATTCCAATGGCACGATCCTCCCCCCCGTAAAATAATTATATTTCGCATCTGATAAGGACTAGATTTCGTGTTGAATTTTGTTCAGCCAGGTATTTCCATGTTGGCTCGCCTGAAGGCCGGCTCTCATCTTCCTTTCATTGGTTCTCAAGAATGATACTAGACTTCGGTGTATTTCAGATATGGCCACAGAGAACCATCTCCTTGTCAGAAATATTAACGCTTACGCAAGTGCAAAGCATCCTGGCGCCAGAACCATGGCAGCCAAGCTTGTTATCTGAGTTTCTCAGAATGCATCAGCTTGGCCCATACTAATGCAGGGCTTGTTTATTTGTCACGTTCATGTTGTGCCTGTTCGTGGGTTTTCACACTGTTGGGAATTTTGGGAAGCGTGATTTAGGTGCTAAATAAGCCGCTATATCCAGTGCTGGGCCGTGCTGTAAAGTTGCCTTTAACACATTTCCTTCCATCATCCACATCCGCATCCTGATTCCAAATCAATGACATCTCATTCGCATTTTCAGTATGTTCGCTCTTTCATGATAAAGTGAAATCTTTTCATTTATTTTTTTATGAAGTCTGTCCTAAAACAGCATGTCATTAAAAGGTACATTATGTTACGATTGTGATTTGGGAAGGCGATCTACAGCAACAACGGAAAACAACTGTTGTATTCACCTGTAGGATTTATGTTCAAAGGTGCTCAATTGTTTGATTGTATATTTCACATGTACTTAATCTGCTGGAGATAAACTCACATGTCTGATAGAGACCGAGGCCCTGTTTCCTCATATGTGAGTATTTTTTCCTCCTGGGCTACTCCCTGCTGTGGCCCTGAGTCAGATTTGTGCCTTCTGTCCGCTCCCTCAGTTCCCCCGCTGCCCTGTAGTCCTTACATGCCTCTGCCCATGCACTGTACCCTATGTGCGGCAGCTACAGGCTCCTACAGGGATATTTCGGTAATACGGACAAACAACAGGATATTGTTTCCACATGAACGCTTTCGTAATGAGCTGTGAAAGCCGGCTCTTCGCTCCTCTTCTGGAGACGTGTGAGGTTACGGAGCCAGTTGCGCTGCTCCCTGAGCCCACCTCCCCATCTGGTGTGGTTCTCACTCATCGCCGGCGAGTAGTTCAGTCACGCAGGGGCACGCAAAACCCCATCTCAGCCGTCATACAGTACGTGTCCTCTGCGTGTTGGCATTTCGAACAGCAGGAGCAGACCGGTATGATTTGCAGAGAGAGTGGCGTGATTTTTGCGTGTGAATGTGGGTGAGAGCGATTGTGTCATCCAGCGGTCCATCGTGTCCAGCTGCTCCCGGCGCCATGGCGACAGGCTCTCAGCCATTATCAACTCGCCTGTCTCCATGACGCCACAATCATCACCAGTTTCCCCCTTTAGAAATACACAAAATAAAAGGTTCCTATAATGTCAATGTGGGATATTTTCGTTATCTGCATCGGTCGTATTGACTTGTTTATTATGGACATCACTGATTGCCATGCTTCTCCTGATGTATTTAAATCTGAAGGAGTCACAAAAAGAGGGTACGTTAGGTCATTGTTTCCCAACCCAGTCTTCAGGGAACCCCGGACAGTCCATGTTTTTGCTCCCTCCCAGCTCCCAGCCAACCTCCCTGCTCCCAGGAACATCAAATACCTGGTACAGGTGCGCTGGGAGCTTAGAGGAAGCAAAAACGTGGACTGTCCAGGGTTCCCCCGAGGACTGGTTATGCTGGGCCGGCAGAGCCACGGTCCCTGCTCGCTGGTCACATGCCTGGCCGCTCCCGGTCCTATTGTCCGTCACCTAAACTCCTCCCCATTCCCCTTATGGCCCTCAGCTGCCCTGGATGCTCCGAGGTGTGATAACGGCACTGACATCGCAATCCGTACGCACAAACAACAAAATATTGTTTCCAGACGAAAATATTCAAAGCGCCACAGACCCAAAAGCCAGACTTTCGAACTGTCGACAGTGTCATTCGGAGCTGTTTGTGGTTTCCGGAGGCTAGGCTGAGATGTTTGCATCCTCCTTCACGTCATACTGAGTAAACCCAAGCAATTAAAACTTATTTTAAACCAAGACTGATTTTTTCCCTCATCTCGTAAAATAAACTGTGAAAGTACAGAACGATCCGGGGGTAAAACCACGGTCGTGGGATGAGGCCCTGAGACGGCCTTTGGCGCCGCAGATTTGCCGGGTGGGATGTTTCCATCTTGTCTCTCAGCAGAAGGTCTGTGTACAGATGCAGGATCCCTGCGGGCCGAGGAAGGCGTCACCATCTGTCGTTAACATCTCCCCTCCACTCCCAAAACACAAGTCATAGCTTGGACATGGAAAAATCTATCCATTGCTATTTAAAATGGCACATAAATTTAGCATAAAATCAGTAGATATAGCTGGAGAAACGGTTATTTTTAGGAAGAAGGGAGTTTTACTTTCCAAACTTAAATGGCACCTTTTTGGTTTCAGTGAGTCAGACGAAAGCCCCACAGTCTGCCCTCATCGCTATTCTTATAGCTGTGCGTTCAACTGCAGGATCCGTCTGCTGCTCTGGGGGAAGCTGATGACCTTTTCAGACTCAGAGAGACGGTGCGGCTGCAGAAATCCGGGCCGTGCAGCTCGTCTCTGAGAGTCCTGATCAGTGGGGCGTTTTAAGGATTCGGCCCTGGAGGCCATTACAGGTGTGACTCCTCTCAGGGGGGGGGGACTCAACTGAGGACGGCGATCGCAGTACAGGAGAATTTTAATTTTGACAGCACATGCGGTTAAAAGACAAAAAGCAACAGACAAGTTTCTGGAAAGTTCTGAAAAATTGTGTATAGTAGACGTCGATTTGTACAGTGGGGCACAGTCTATGGAGATAAGATTGTGTGTCTGAGAAGAGTGTGCATGTGTGAGTCTATATATGTCTATGTCTGTGTGTGTATGTGAGAGAGAAAGAGAGAGACAGATATAACAAATGTCCTCAAATTGTGATAAAAACCTGTTCTTGTGACATTGTGGGGACCATTCTTTTGGTCCCCACAAGGGGAAATTCCATTTTCTAAAAATCTGTGACTGCAATCAAAAAACTAAAAATGCCAAATGACTTGTATTTTGTTTGGTTACTTATGGTTAAGGTTAGGGCTGGGTAGGGGTTAAGGGTATCATTGATGGGATTAGGGTTTTTCCGTAAAAATTAATGGATGGTTCCCACAAAGATATGACTACAGGTCTGTGTGTGTGTCTGTATGTCTGTGTGTGTGAATGTCTATGTCTGTATGTGCCTGTGTGTGTGTATGTCTGTGTCTGTATGTCTGTGTGTGTATGTCTGTGTGTGTGTGTCTGTATGTCTGTGTGTGTCTGTGTCTGTATGTCTGTGTGTGTTTGTCTGTATGTGTGTCTGTATGTCTGTGTGTGTGTCTGTGTGTGTATGTCTGTGTTTATGTGTCTGTATGTCTGTGTGTGTGTGTTTGTCTGTATGTGTGTTTGTCTGTATGTGTGTCTGTATGTCTGTGTGTGTGTCTGTGTGTGTATGTCTGTGTGTGTGTTTGTCTGTATGTCTGTGTGTGTGTTTGTCTGTATGTTTGTGTGTGTGTCTGTATGTCTGTGTGTGTGTGTGTGTGTGTGCGCGCACGTGTGCAGCAGGCTGCGGCTGTAAGCTGTGTGCCTGCTCTCCGGCTCCGGGCCTCCTCTCCCTGGCACCCTTGGTGAGTGGCTCAGCTGGCCCGGTCCCAGCGAGCGGCGAGAGAGCAGAGCGTGGCACCCGCCTCCCGCCGCTCCCGCGCATTACCTCAACGCGCAGCCAGCGCAGCGCCAGTCCTCCCTCAGCATGGCTTTGGGCTTCATGTGTGGGGCAGAGGACCTGTTGCTCAGAGGCGGCCGGCTGGTATGGGGCCTGGCCGTGCGGGCGCTGAGGGAGTGGTACGAGAGCGGCCTGGGGCCATGCCAGCGATTCGTACAGCGCTGCCACCGGCTGCGGGACCTCTACCAGGTAGGAGGCCAGGGGGCATCGATCAGCCTATCAGGTTACCTGAGGCTCTTATAGCTACGTTCCTGACACCTATGAAGATACGTTTTCCGGAAAAATCTGAACGACGGCATATCAAAGCTGAGGGAGTCTTTCTACCAGGTGTAATATCGCGATTCACTGACAGCCGACTGCTTCTCCGTGCGTCAGTGAAGCATGCGATTCTCCTCTGGCCTCCATGCGGACGGCGTCAGAGAGGATGCCTGATGGCATATCGAGACCGGCGGCCCGCTCTGACAGGTGGCCACGCCGGATGGGACTTTTACGGGAACCTGTGAGCTCAAGGCGTCGGTTGTTTCGATCTGTGCCAGTGATGTTTAAAATGCAACTGGGCACTTCCGTATTCGTTTATGGCTTTCTGCTGCTGTTAGTGGCTTTTGAGGGTGCATCTGTCAGTAAGGCCTCTTTCTGCATTAACTTCCAAACTGTGTGGATAAAGGGCTGATTTTCTGCTGCGTCGGGGGAGCAGCACAGCGGTCAGGGCTGCCAACACGGGCTGCTCAGTCGCTTCAACTTTGGCCACTTATGTCATGTCGGGCGGGAATGTAAAGTCTGAACTCCATAAAGTCTCTGAAAGAGGAGGACCTAGCGGACAGATGGAAGCCGTTACGAAGCTGGACAGCAGGCTTGTATATTTGCGGCTTCGCAGGGCTGTAAGTACATGGAAGTCACTCTGTTGTGGCGACAGTTTCATATGCTGGTGGAATGCTTGGTGAAGGCTGTGCCTCTGACCATGCACGCTGGACACTGTGTTCATTTACATATTTTGGGAAATATTTCAATGAAATCAGTTTTGCTTTTTACCTTGGTTCTTAAAGTGAGGCTTCGTTTCGACCATTATGTCTCTGTGGAAGTTACCTTTGTAATTATTAAGATAACATTTAAAAAATCGTATTTATGTAAATGACTGAGCTCGGGAACGCCTAGAGATGCCCGGTCAGTGGCTGCTTGCTGATTCCCTCAGTCAGTCTCTGCTCTGCGCTCCCTCCCTCATGGACGGCACTTTAGCAGCTAATTACATTAGCAGGGCCCCTACGGCTCCGGGGCCGGCAGTAAAGCCGTCTCTAGGTCACCAGTCACTGTTTGAAGTTTCATATCCCCTCCGGACAAGGTTTCAGAATGATGACCCCCGCCTGCCCCCCCGTCAGCCAGACCCTCTGGATATCATGTGACACGGCTTTTAAGACGGCTGACCTTCCTTAGGGCTGCGACCCCCGTCGCCGGTTCCTCACCCCGTACGCGGCGTGTACGTCGCTGCATGCAGGGTGAGGGTGTCTGCTCTCGGCTCTGGCTAAAAGGAAAAGCGTCGTGAGTCTGTGTCGGGTGGCTCGGGACCCTGAACATGGGACACATCCTTGGGATGGTGGGTCCCATGGAATGAAGGGTGGGGGGGGAGCACCTCGCGGGGGGTGCGCGGTGAGGCTGCTAAGCGGAGATTTGTGTCGCGGGTCTAAGGGAGCAGCTGAAAATGCACAAACTGTCCAAGCTGGGCTTCCTGGGCTTCGAGCTTCTGTTGTTCCAGGGTGGCTTCCTGAATGTCATTTTACTGTAATTTGAGGACAGCCCCTTGCACCGATCCCCACATGGCGCACATTATCCCAGGGAGCGATGACATGAATGCTGTTACACACACACAGCCATAGGGGGCGCCTGTGCTCAATGACACCTTACAGTAACTGCAGAAATGCTGTGGGTTCATTCCACTGATTCACACATATATAAAAACAACAACAAAAATACTCTGAATGAGATTTAATTATACGTGACATGGATAACCATGCCATCATTACAAACACTCTACAACAAAAGAAATTCGTGTCTGTTCCAGACTGTTTTGAATGACATATTTGTTGCCACAGGCTCAACTGCGGCATGGAAAAATGCCCTGACGCTAAACGTTAATTAGCGTCTTCTTTACAGTACTTTAATCTCTGGTTCCAGTCTTCCTATATTTAACCAGACATGAAGGGAATTTCATGCACATGTAAGTCTCACATTCATGAAGAAGCCCAGTGCTGACCTATATATCCACAGCGAAGGCTCTGTTATGTGCTGCAGTGTGATTTGAGGTAATTTGTCTGAAACAAAGCAGCTTTGATTAATATACCTCAGGTCACATAATGACACCCACTCAGCCCCTTAAGAGGTTACCATGGTGATTAATCTGGCCGTGGACAATGCGGCTTCTGTAATTAACGGCTACAATAATTCCTTCCAATAAAAAGGATTATAAAGAATCCCGTGTTGTCCATTTAGACTGGCTGCTCAGATTTCTGCGAGCCGTCTCCACGTGCCTTAAACATGCGCATGCTTTCCAGAAAGCTCACCCAGCTGAGGTTCAGCCCTGACCCACGCAAAAGGCACTTTGTTTTCAGACAATACAATAAAAAACACAAGAGACCAAGTATGATAGAGACAATGACGCCACAGTAGACAAACACCCATTTTATGCATGTATAAAAGACACATTAGATGTAGAATCTGAGAATAAAGTGTTCAGGTTTGAGTCTGGCAGCATTTAGTGAGTAATTAGCCTTCGTTGGGGACTGTTCTATAACAGGATGTCTTTTTCTACATAAAGGCTCATTCAGCACAGGTGGATACCGTGTCTGTCTTACCGTAAACACAGGAATAAGCGTCTCAACCACATTCCTGAGGGCAAAACTCTCAAAGCGAGAGTCTGATGTTAGCCTAACGGAGAAAATGTTGTGTGATGTGGTCAGCAACTGGGGCTGCACTGCGTACAGAGATCTTGCACCTATTTATGTTTTGGGAATATATGCTGTGAATCTTATGGTTTTACCAGGAAAAAGGGAGAAGATACGTATTTTAGACAGTGGCATGGAATTATTTTTGATCTTTGACAGTAACAGACTTTTCATTTGGAGAGTAGTGACCTGCCCTCAAAGGAGAGTCATTTATTTATTTAAATCAAGCACGCTGCAGAATAAAACAGCCTGGACTCGCTTCAGAGTGGTCAAACTCACTGACCCCACCCAAAGACACACTAATGCGTTTTCACTCGCCAACTAGGAATACAATTTTCAATTCCATTTTTCTTCCTTTCTGGCCTGAGAGCACTGGATAAGGGCAGACACGTTTTTCCAACTGAGGCTTATTTATGAAAAGAGACACCGCACAAGGGCTAGCAAGGGTCAGGGACGGCTGCGGCACATGCAGATGTGCCGAGAGACGTTCAGGTGGCTGAGGGGCTCAGAGGCAGACGGGCAGGACGCAGATGTGCTGATGGTGTGGTTCTGCTTCTATTCCTCAGATGACAGAGGGCAGACTCTGTCAGGTTCACCTCCTGGATGACAGGAAGCTGGAACTGATGGTACAGGTATGGCCTCATTTTTTTCACATTAGACTGTCAGTCCATATCAAAGAAAATTCAAACACATATCACACACACAGTGTGTGGCTCCGTGGGGCTGTGCCTGTGATTGGGAGTTTGCTAGTTCAAATCCTGCGATAGCTGCTAATCAGTCGCTAGTTGAAATCCCAGAGTGATTTCACTGTTGGGCGCTTGAGCAAGACCCTTAACTCAAAAAATGTATGTTGCTTTGGCATCTGCTAAATATGTAACATATTCCTTATCATAGAAATTAAAGGATACACATAAAATAGACCATACACACGCCACATATTTGTTATCATAGAAATTAAAAGATATATACTAGATATGCAACTTGAATAGGACAAATGGGTATAGAAAATAGATGGATGTATGTAATGCATCATACTCCGGCCATGTATTCCTTATAGTGGAAAGGAAAGGACCTACATATAATAGATCACATACACACTACACAGTCCTTCACATAAAAATCAATAGATATCATAGATGTATTATTTTCAGTGGTAGCTCTGGAGCATGAAAATGAAATGCTACATCCCAAGATGCAAAAGTCATCAAAATGACTTCAGCCACTGCCTGTGGTTGTGGCTGCTGGGGAAGCAGCCTGACCAGTATTATGATATCAGGGCGTGATTGGAAGGACGTCAGCGTTAAGTGATGATCAGGAATGAAACGATACAGAATGTCAGCCTTCAAAGTATCATCAGCCTCATGAATGTAATGTCTTATGTTTAACCCATGTATTCCGATTTAGCTGGTCTTTTTAATCAGTAAGGTATTTAATTCCTGGAATACATCTGAATCCCTGTAATGGCTCCTTTGTCCAACAGCCGAAGCTGCTGTCCCGGGAACTCCTGGACTTAGTATCTTCCCACTTTAACCTTAAGGAGAAGGAGTACTTTGGAATCACCTACACAGGTGACACGTAAGTACATGTATGAATACATGTGTGTACACATATGTGTGTATGTGTGGGACGGGGGGGGGGGTCACATATTGTCTTTTAAAAGGCTTCATGTTTGTTGAACGGTTGCCTTGTGCTTCATTTTGGATGCAGCTGTATTCCATGTTTTCTTTTAACATTTGGGAATACACAGAGCCGTCAGCTTCCCAGAAGACAAGGGAAGCTGGATTGGGTGAAAGGAACTAAAGTATGCCATGAAAAGACCACAAGCGTCATGTGGACAGATAGTTTACCGAGATCCTTTCATCTTTATCCAGTCCACTGTCTCTGTGAGGGTCACTAGGTCAGTAGGTGGGCTGGGTCATCAGAGACTGTCTCTTTTCTATCAATGTCTTCAGCCAGAAGAGATTAAATAAAGACTCCTAACGTTATAAAGGTACAACTGTCTTAAAGTGATGTATATGATGGTCAGAGTATGGAACTGAACAGGAGGATTGTTTAAAAACATATATATAATCTTGAGAGAATCCCATCCATCTTGCAACTTCATGCGCAAACAAGCACAGGGCGCAGGGCACGGGTACACCCTGGATGGGATGCCAATCCATCACGGGACACGGGGCTGGGGTACACCCTGGACGGGATGCCAGTCCATCACAGGGCACGGGGCTGGGGTACACCCTGGACGAGATGCCAGTCCATCACAGGGCACGGGGCTGGGGTACACCCTGGACGGGATGGCGGTCCCTCACGGGGCACGGGGCTGGGGTACACCCTGGACGGGATGCCAGTCCATCACAGGGCACAGGGCTGGGGTACACCCTGGACGGGATGCCAGTCCATCACAGGGCACGGGGCTGGGGTACACCCTGGACGGGATGCCAGTCCATCACAGGGCACAGGGCTGGGGTACACCCTAGATGGGATGCCAATCCATCACGGGACACGGGGCTGGGGTACACCCTGGACGGGACGCCAGTCCCTCACAGGGCACAGGGCTGGGGTACACCCTGGACAGGACGCCAGTCCATCACGGGGCACGGGGCTGGGGTACACCCTGGAGGGGTTGCCAATCCATCACGGGGCATGCACAAACAAGCAAACACACACGTACAGACACACACACTATAACAGATTTAGATTCAAACCCCCACCCCTGGGAGGGCCAGGGCCACAGTGCTAACCACTGAACTGCCCATGACCTGGTACTCTCAGATACAGAGGGTGACCAGTTTAAGGGCTACTCAGAGGGGAAAAAAGCATACTGGGAATGAGACAATTCCCAAAACTGCTCTGAAAATAGTTCGGCCAGTATCTAGTTTTAAATACACACAGTCCTACTGGGATAATTATGTTTCTATGCTATTAGCTCTTGTACCATTTCTTACAAAATGTAATATTAAAAATTAACAGTGTAATATTAAAAATATATATGAAAATTCAATTTTAATAGTATTACACCTTGGAGAATGACATACAGTACAAAAGGATTACAGTACAAAAGGGTTTATGTAAATTAACAATCAGGGGTCAAATTCATATTTTCAACGAATCCTGACAACATCATGGAAAGAGCAAAGAAGACAAAGTGATACAAAATCACCAGAAAGTGACAAATGTGATGTGCCTCATGTCCCAGGGGGCAGTGCAAGTGGCTGCAGCTGGACCGCAGAGTGCTAGATCACGACTTCTCCAAGAGGACAGGACCAATCTCCCTGAAATTCCTGGTCAGGTCAGAACTTCCACATGACACACATGCAATCTGGTTTAAGAAGAATACAGACTACAGTGATTCTTCATATTTGCCGGGGGTTGTCCTGCATGTGGTCCTCTCACTTGCTTAGAGTGTAAAGACTGCGAAAGAAGTTCACTGAGTAACAGCAGTTTGGGAGATGGGTGTGACCGGCATGTGCCTTACTGCTTGATATCCAGCAGGGGGCATCAGTCCCAGCAGCTCCATATGATCTGGCTCTAGAAGCCACACCATATAAGTAAATCTATCACAAAGATAAAGGTATAAACTATTATCAATTGGGTGTAGTCAAGTTGTGCTCCAAACATTTGCAGAAATCAAACCCGTCAAATGTGTAGTTATTTATATGCAAATATTGTTTCACGTTTATTTCCTGTGTTTGAATTCCCAGGTTCTATATTGAGAACTTCACATTTCTGAAAGAAAACATCACGGTAGAATTGTTTTTTCTCAACGCCAAAGCTTCAGTGTATAATGTAAGTTATTCTTACTACTGAGACCAATAACACCACCAGAAGTGTCTGTGATCCTTTCCTTCTGCATTTCTCATCCATTCATTCATCCATCACCACTTAAGCAGTATCAGTGCACAGAACACATGAAGATATTCATATAAGATCAATTTTGGGACCAGTCCACTACCAACTAGTACTCCAAGGCTAGTAATTATTAATAAAATTTAGTTGAAAACATTTTCCTTACAATACATAAGGAAACAAAACCGTTTTGGACCCACAGATAGGGCCATTCAGTTGCGTAATTTATTTTGGAAACGCGTTGTTACAAGACTGCGAATTGCTCGAAGTAAAAATTCTTTTGGACAACAGCAGTGAAACACGGGCGGCTACGTCGAATTCTGCGCAGGAAACCCTGCCGATAGATCTAAACGTTTAAACAAGCTTGGTAGCCAAACACCGTCAGTATTCGCATAGCGCGACACGCGTGATTGTTCGCCACTTTTCCATTTGAAGGCGCCATTTAGGCCTATGCAAGCGCTAGCATGGCAGGCGGTTATTTTGATAATGCATTCCTCAGCCTAGCTTTTCATTTTGTTTATAGAATTTGAACCCATTTTCTTTTTGTTAACATCTTTTCTGTATTCATTCTAACGAAAATCGCCTTTCTTCTCTCCAAAATCATAATACTCAAACATTAAGTATTGCTGACTTCTGAAACCTTTTTTTTTACTGTAACAGCAGGGAAAGAACAATGAACCAATTCATTGCTCTCCCCTGCTCTAAAAACGTGTATAAACGACTTGAATCCCACAGGCAGATTCAGCCTGGGGATCTCACTGGCAATGCCGTATTGTTTTTAGCAAAACTTTGGATCGAGTCTGTATTAGAAAAGGGAACGCTTCATCAGGCATTAAGAGCTGGACCGAAACGGACAGAGACCGCATTACGGGCCAAAGCAAAGCCGGCAAAACGGGAACTCCGGATCAGTCAAACACGTAGACTTGGCGGACGCCCAGAGCTGCATATTAGGGGGATTCTGAGGATACACCATTGCAAATAATAATGACATTAAAGTAAGCATGCAGTAACTTACTGCGTGGCACCACATTCATCAACACCCCACCTCTCACTAAATCAGACAGGCAACTCGATCGTTTTCTCCTATGTAGATTTTTATCGTTTCTTTACCAAGGCGATGGACAATATTTTTGCGCCCATATAATAAGAAGCGATAGTTATTGCATAATTAAAATCGTAAACAGAAGTCCCAAGATGGACCTTGTGTTATTAAGACTGCGATCCATTGACTTCCTTTGCTTGCCAATTTCTACTTGAAATTCATATGTAGACGCAAATAGGCCTACATGGAAAAATAATCATTAGCCTATACACACAGCAACAAATATATCTCGACAACTTCTGCACTGCAAGTAATTTTTGTACATCAAAGATTAGCCACAACGTCAACACCAAGCATATATGCAATATTGTAACTAGTTGATTAACTCCATGTAATAGCAGATTCGGGTAAACATGATAAACAATGTGATGCAGACGGATGAGATCCATGTACCTGGTAGCTGCCCTCGGATCTTCGTTGAGTGACCTAGTAACTAACTGCACGCTGTTCACAACGTTTGACTACATTTCAAAACCAAGTCAGCGGCGAACTCTCCGTCGGAGATACAGGACGATGCTATTTCTCTAAAACGCAAACAGATCAGGCGGGGGGTATTTCCTCCTGCTTTAAATTGCAGCATAAATAACAAAAAATATGTACAACTGGAAGCAATGTTTAAATTGTAATTACCGTTGGGAACTTGAGCGATGAACCTGCTAGTGAGACCGTACCATGTTGACGTTACGGAAAATCTGCAGTTTTATTACCAATATCCACGTACATCACTGTGTTATCTCAACTCCAAGACTTCTTATTTTTCCGATTTGTGAGAGTAAAGTAATATACCGGGATTTTTTTTTTAAGTAATGAACCCTATAGTCCTCCGGCTACAGGCGCTAATGGTTCAGCCCGTAACTGTCCGGTAGCTGCCGTGTGTGTGTGTCTCGGCTGCTGGCGATCGTGTCAGGTTGCACTCACGCTCCGCTCGAGTTTAATTCATTTATCCCCCCCCCCCCCATTTCGAATTATTCTGCGACAGGGTGACATTGAAGTGGAGAGTGAGGATGTTTTCAAACTAGCCGCTTACGCACTACAGGTAAGAACGTTCGTCTTGCTGTTTTGTTTGTTAGCCGGAGTTTTGGGAAACTCGCTTCGCCTTATTTTGTTGTCGACTAACTAGTCAAAACACCATAAAATCAGATCGACGCGCTAATAACGCGGCTTAAGCCTTTATTGTGTATTCCGCGCTTCACTTTTTGTATGGGACAGTCATACATTAACTAGGTTGCTAACTAGTAGTGTGTGTGCGGTAGTGGCGAGCGCCTCTGAAGTAAACAGCACACGCTGTAATGAATGCAGGTACGAGGCGCGAGTTTCTCCACTTCTCCCAGTTCGCTTTGATGGCACCAGTTTAAACAAGAATTTCTACGAGCTGCGGGGTCACCTGCAGTTTTATGGCTCATGCTTTTTTTAATATCATAACTTTAAATATTCTTTTTAATAATGTGATTTTTAATGTTACGGCTATGCATTGGTGTGGTGTTTCGGTCAAATTATGATTTTCATACCTAGTGAGGAACACGCACTCCGGACGGATGCATAATCGTGTGTCATACGTGCATGTTGTACGTGAAGGTTTTTAAGTTAATCATGCATAGTCGACAGAGTTTGGACATGCATGGAATGAGGGTGGAGTCTGACCCGACACATGAAACATCGTTCGATACTTGCTTGTTATTTGAGTTTCCATTTTTCATCTCTTCACTTTGCAGGAAGCTAAAGGGGACTACGCGAGGTAAGGACGTATTTATTTTAAGAATTACTTAAGATTTACAGCGGGTTGTTGATATCTACAAAGAGACCTTTCCTATGTTGTCACACACACGGTTCTGTTAGAGACCCCCTTCTGTGTGCAGAGGACGATGGCATTTCAGCTGCGTGTTTCAGAAGATTTGAGCCAATGGTGTCTTCAGCACCCGTTTTCAGGCACACAAGCTGTGTACAGGACAGCCTGATTACACCCCACCCCCATAACACACAAACCCACCCTATCTGCTTATAGGTCACCTGAGTGTAATATATCTGTGCAACAGAGTGCCATGTCAAGTAATGCTTGTAGTAATCTGCTCTGGAGGTTTGCTCTGTTTTTATGTGGTTCTGTTCTGGGTAGCTCATAAATGAAAGGTGTCCAGTGTTTTTGTGTTCTGGAGTTTTGTGCCTAGGCATAGCTCAGTGAGCAAACACCAGCCCGAAAGTTCACTGTTGTAGGTTAATGGTTGACTGCACAGATGAGGATCGTTTAGTGCGCAGTGTTTGGAGCTAGAATTGTACATATTGTATGTCTTTCACAGTCACTCAGTTTAGATTTTGGAATTATGTTTATTAGGTTTATATAATTTTGTTTTGGTATGTTTAGCAAAATTCCTCTTCTGAAGGAGGTATTTTTGGCAAATGGCTTGTAACTTTCACTCTGCATCCCTGGAAATTTGCCCATATGAGTCCATACCAAGAATCTTAAAATGTGTTGTGTGATTCTGATGATGTTACCTTCCATTCTCAGTGTCATGTCACAGTGACGTCCTGTTGCATTAGTGCTTTAGTTTGCATTTGTTCTTGGATGTTATAACTAAGGCACTTCTTAGGGTAGTTGTTTGATTGACTGGAGGTAATTATCTCATACTTACACATTCAGGACCTTGTAACAGGGAAAACTGCTTCTTTTCTAATGACAGTGTACTGAATGTTAGTTATTTCCTCACTGATGTTGCTAATGCACCAAAGCAGTGTGTCATTACTTGGCGAAGTGTTATACTAAGGAGGGGTGATTGGTGTTTGTAATGACTGATATCCTTCTGTGTTTTTTTCCCTGGTTTTTCCCTTGGTGGCGCTATATTAATTACTAGCGCATGGTGCTGCTTGACGAGCAGTATTTCCATGTCGGCTCAGCATAAAATGGTGCACCCCATGCATTTCCAATCCGCGACATGGCGTTTTGTGACTGCATTATCCACCATAAATTGTACTCCCTCTCTGTGGAAATTCATCAGATCTTTGCTGTACGTTTTGTGAGAGTCTCTCGAAGTCTTATCAGTATATCTGTGTTGACGGTTATGTTTTACTTTTGCCGTTAAACTAAGGCACTGAGTTTTAAATATCAGCCTGCTGGGGCCTGGGGTGTGTTACACTTTGTCCTGGTGGAGTCAGAAACGATACTGTGAGAATATCTGAATAGAGGGAGGGGGGACGATCATGTTCCTGTGTGTCTGCCTCTCTCATACACACACACACACACACACACAGACACACATACACACACCTTTGGTGTGCCTCTCTCCCCCTCCCAGTCTTATACTGCTGAAAGCTGAGAGAGTGACCTGAGGGCTTTCAATGAGGCGTGTAGAGAGTGGGGCCCGCACCGCTGTGCTGGGAAATACCCGGGGGTGGGGGGGGGCAGCAGATGTGTTGCCGTTTGCCTGGCACTGCCCTCAGGGCCCCCGTCACCGTGGCTGCTTTGGTCTCTCTGGGTAACTGCTCCGGCGTCACCCCCTGCTGGCCAGATTTGTGGTGGGCTTTCAATGGGCCTGCTCCATGTAGCCATTTTTACAGGCAGTCCTGGTTGTGAGGCAGGGTAGAAAAACCACAGAATTAGGTTCCTACTTACTCCCGTGGGTTCTGTTGTAGTATTATCTTTAGCAGCAGGGGGGTGGTTTTCGTGTCGCTGTTGTGGTCCTTTTGTAGTTCCTTTAAGGTGCTTAACCTGCAATGTTCCTAGAAAATATCCAGTTGTGTAAGTCATGAAAATTACCTGTGGTGTTGAGCTAAGCAGTAATGAATGATGGCAACAACAACAGGGTCTGTGGATATTTGGGTAATAAAATGGCCATTGACTGTTTTGGCTTTATAGATGTAAACTTCCTGCTGATGTGGTTGCCAGGGTTTTATGTGGAATAAGCAGTGTGACTGGCCCCCCAGGTGGCTGGGTGTGAGCTGGGGAGGCACGCTCTGCATATGGGGAACCTCAAGGCGGCGCCATGACCGTTAAGCGTCAGTTAATCCCGGGTCACCCAACACTGCCACACCTGAGCCGTGTGCCTTTCTGCTGTATCGTGTGGGAGAGGGATGCGAGAGGGACTCGCTCGGCCGGTGAAGAAGATGAACCTCAGGTCTTTGTTAATTCCAGAGAGCCGATGGGGAATGCTAAAGTTCTTGGTGAAAGATTTCAATTTCAGTTCAGTTCTGACTCAAGCCTTTGTTTCCTCTTGTTTCTCTGCCCAAGGAGCACAGATCGAGCCTTTTAGCAGCCAGGTTGACCCACCATTTACCTGCTTTATTCCTGAATTTGTTGTTCATGTTTTTCTACTTGCTTTCATGCCAAAATCTGAAGCATTTCATGAAACTGACAATTTTTTAGTTTTGGGTAAAAATGTTGATTCTTGTCAGGAATGCTCTGCTGCAGTGAGTTGGCTGTGCCTTGCCAGCCTCTCTGAATGGCTGTCATTTAGCAGTGCAGCCTGTCGCCCGGCCAAATCATGGTCCCTTTTGTTGACTTTCTGTTGAAAAGCTCTCAGCACTCCCACCTTGTTTATGGAGTGAGTCAGAGCCGATCTTCAGCCCTTGACAGTCACATGCAGGCTCTTCAGCAGGTTCCTTCCCTCCAGATCTGCCCTTGCCTTCTGCACCATACTTTGGTGATTGAAACACCCTCTGAATTTTTTTTTCCAGGATTTGGACAAGCACTGATAACACTGTGATAACACTGCTTCATAGTGTCAGGTCTCTTGAACAATTTTCCACTGCCGAAACATACTGATTTTCATTTTACAGATAAGTTTAAGGGATTTTGGAAATTGCATTGTAGCTCTGAGTTGCTGTTGAGTGGGTTGTCGCTAAAATAAGCAACTGTTTGGCTATAGGTCCAAACCTGACTTTGGTTATGTTGTGCTGACTCTGCCTCTCAAGATATCTGGATTTGCCTGGAGGCTGTTTCCAGCTCTGCTGTTGATAAAATGCTTTGCAGGCTCCTTTTCAGCTGGATATCCCCCCCCCCCAAAGGCATCACTGCTAATGCTTCCAGCATCGGGGTATGAAAGATGTTATTTACCTGAACGGCGTGAAGCCTCGACCTTCCGTCCTGCTAGAAACACCGGCAAACACTCCATCCTCTCTCTCTGGCATCACAAACGAACATTAGAGCCTTTGGCTGTTTCCCATTCCTTCCGTGCGTTAGTCATGTGATCCAACGTCTGTCTGGGAGCAGAGAGTGAACACCCCGAAAGCCCTCCCACCCGAGAGGGTGTTGTGTTTTTTTCGTTTTGTTTTGTTTTTGTTTTTTTTTAATTTCGTCTGGTCTGAGAATCACCCTGAGTTGTGTGTCTTGCATAAACCCTCCAGCATGTGGCTTGCTCTGTGTTCCACAGCTGGTCTTTGTCACGACGTGCACAAGGAGTCATGGATACCTGTGACTTGTTACCTTGGAAACGCTGACTGCAACATTTGCTTCTTTTTTTTTTCCTCCCCTTTATTTTGCTTCACGTAGAGAGCTGAGGCCGTCTTGGAATTGTGCAGCCACAGGAAATAACCATGGGGGGAGAAGTGGCCCCTTTATGGAGAAACGCAGCATGTTGTCTTGTCCTATCCTCTGAGATAAAAAGTTGTCCTGGCAGAGAGATGTTGCTGAGATGGAAAAGCGTGCTGTGGCACGCAGGTGTGCCGTGCGTTGACTGCGGATATGTGCAGGACTGCTCTCTGCCTGCAGAAGACCTGCACTCACATGATATGAACCATGAGTTTACATAACAGGGATAAATATGAAGAGTCCCAGCAGCCTGAGGGCTTTGCATTGTGCTTTTTATGGTGTACAGCTGACAGCAGTATGCAAAGAGCTTACTGTCTAGATATGAATACAGATCATTTAGAATAGAATGTCAGCAGGTTGTTTTTGCAGTAAACTGTTGGTTTGTGTGCAGAAATCGACATTTTTTTCAGCAGCTCTCTCTAAGCTTAAAAGGTGATCTAGCTGCATTCCTTAGATGGGACTTCCAGTGTTTTTTTTTTTTTTTTGTTTTTTTTTACTGAGCGTTACTTTGTTGTTTTCAGTGATGAAAACACGAGAAGCGATCTGAAGAAGCTACCGACCCTGCCCACCAAAGTGCTGAAGGAGCATCCGTCCCTTGCTTATTGGTGGGTCCCATTTCATGGCCCGTGTCCCTGCTGCCAGCTGCTGTGTGTGTTAGCTTTTTGAGGGATAGTTCTCACTATTTTCACACAGTGCTGCAGTGTAGGTGATCAGGCTCAACTTGACTGACCTGTTTTAAACAGTGTTGCTCCCATGAGTACCTTTCACTTGTTACTGGTCCTGCATCAGAAGCTCAGCCTAGCTGCACTTATGCCCGGCTGTTTATCTGACGGCCCACTTATGCATTGCTCTGGACAAAACCGCCTGCTGACTAAATACATATCGATGTAAATTAGGTTTGATTTGATTGGCTGAAATGACGCCTGTCTCCAGCCTGGGGGCTGTGCAGCCTGGCTCTCCTCACTCTGATTGGGGGAGCTGTTGTGCAGATGCGGCCTGTTTCCCCACAGCTGTTCAGGGCAACGACTGGCAGCTGGGAACATTTCGGTGCCTTCAGGGGAGCCCCTAGTGGTGCATGCGGGGAAGGGCAGCTGCCGTGGGGGGAGGGGGGCATGCTGTGTTGCGTTTCTGTGCTACTTAGGGGCAGTGAGTGGCTCAGCAGGCTAAGTATCTCTGCCTGTGATCAGAAGGGCGCCGGTTCAAGCCCCAGCCTCGACAGAATAGTCACATGTCCACGGGCCCTTGAGCTAGGCCCTTAAGCCCCTGAATGACCCTGCGCTGTGACCCCTAAGCTATGGAGAGTGAGATGGGGTCAGCAGAGAGCAGCATTCCAATGTACCTGTACTCATACTGGTGCAAATGACATATAAAGAGTTCATCATTTATCTACCTGTTAGTGTTGGGGACCTGATTCAGTCAAGGTGTCCTGTTCTCTGTTTGCAGTGAGGACCGGGCCATCGAGCATTACAAGGCACTGAAAGGGCTCACGCGAGGACAGGCTGTCATACAGTAAGTGGTGGGGGGCAGGGGGTACAGAGGCTCAGGGTGTCCTGACCAGTCTTCCGCAAAGGGCGGGTAATTGCCTGTCGTTTAGACTGCGCTGGCATCAGCAAAATCTGCAGTGATGTACCGCAGAGCCAGACTGAGCTATGCTCACGTTTTGGGCCCCCTGTCACGGCACTGAAGTGATGCTTCCTTGGGAATAAATTCTGTTTGCTGGATTCCAGGAAAGATAACGTTACCCATAAACCACGTGATCAGTCATTAACTGCGATGACTGATTGGTTTGCTTTATCTTCTGCAGGTACCTGACCTTGGTGGAATCTCTTCCCACCTATGGAGTTCATTACTATGAAGTAAAGGTAAAAAAATATTTTTACTTTGTCCTGTTAAGTCAAGGTGGATATAAATGTTTCAGGAGCCAAGGAACTCGTCCGTTTGTTTAGTTTTTTCGGACCCTTTAGGTTTATTTGGAGCTTGTGGATAATTTGGGCCGCTTCTCTAAAACGTTTTACGATTGTATTTTCTCATTCACTTTAATCACTTTTATAAAAAATCTTACCATCTGTCCTGTGATTTCCTGATTACTATGAGACTCCCTCTGTCTCTGGCCTAAACGTAGAGTTTATTGCAGAAATGCTGGCTTTACGACTGACCTTCCTCAGCTTCTGCCATAAAAGACGGCGAGCCACGGCGTCTTCCAGAGCCGTCCGAGCGGCACACTAACTCTTATTTATGGGGCTTCCCGACTGAATTGGAAAAATCCCAGTGGAGGTGTTTGCGCTGTGATAACGGCGAGAGGGAGGGGCCAGCTCCCCCCGGCTCTTGCAGCACGGCTCTCCACCTGACAGACGCTCTCTCTGACCAACAGGACAAGCAGGGCATCCCGTGGTGGCTAGGAATCAGCTACAAGGGCATCGGCCAGTACGACCTGCAGGACAGGCTGAAGCCCAGGAAGGTGCGTCCCGCTACTTTGCCTCTTAATTGTTTTGCATGGTAGTTAATGTGCCAGCGTGGTGTAACCAAGGCGACTAGAGCTGGGAGGTCGCGGCCCGGGAGAAGCTGCTGGTCTATGCTAGTGTGATGTTAGGCAGCGGCTGCTTTGTCTCTGAGGTACCGCAGGGGGCAACGGTTTACCTGCGCGCTGCGTTTCCAGGGTGAAACTCCGCCAAGGCTGCGATAATTATCCCCGTTATTAAACAGGGATGAAAGAGCCATCCAGCTTGAAAAACAGAGGTAGCAATTTCCTTAATTACAGTGTTCAGTTCTGCCATTTCTGCCTCTTCTGTTCTGGTTTTGGGCAGGAGAGCCAACACCCCCCCGTTACAGCACACTCATTGGCCCCTGGCTCTCTGCACACACAGCCTGCTATGTGGCAGCCTTGAATGCCGTAGAACGAAAGGGCTCGTCCCCTTCTTAAAGCCATGTACCACGTCCATTTCCCAGGCCTGCCTCCGCACGTTGTAATTACTTAGCGCCGCTGAGCACAGGGGGGTCGTCGGCCCCATGCCGTGTCTCGCAGGCCGCCTCTCAGGAGCCTGCCGCCCGCTTGCTTTCATGGCGCTCGCCCGTGTGTCCACCCCCCCTCTGTCGTCCGCTCCCAGCATGCCGAGCTCATTATGCAAAGCCGCCTGTCATTGTGTGAGTTTCTTGGAGAGAACAAACAATTGATCAGGCCATAAAACACAATTAGCTTAGTGGGGATCCTGAGAGAGTCAGCCAAAGGCTCTGCTGTTTCAGTTTACCCCACAGGGGAGTCCTTCAGAAACCTTCAAAGTGCCTGTTTCAAAGGCTTAGGTGGTTGTAGGGGAGGCCAGGAGAGGACCAGGTCGTTTGAAGATAATTACTGACAGTTTTAGCTTGGTGTAGAAGTTTCCCTGATATCCACTCTGTGTTTGAATGGATGTGCCAGCTGAGCCAGATAACAGCAGGGGGGGGTCTTATTTGTACAAGGGGAATGAACAACAGTGACACCATTGTTACAGGGTGTAGTTGGCGTGATGATCCTTGTTTCCTGGTTTTTATTATTGGTGCGAGGACACGCTTCGGTGTGCCTTTTTGGCACGCGCTGGCCTCCGGTCCTGTCCCGTCCGGGTGAACGGTGCCGGTCAGAGTCCTGATGGACCGTCCTACCAGTCTGCTCCCTGCCAGTACCGCGCCCTGTGGTGTCTCCCACGTCCGCGGCCCCCTATCAAGGCGTGTGGAGGTCCTACCGGCAAGAATAGAATGTCAGCAGGTATCCGCATTGCAGTAGGTGGGGGGGGGGGGGGTGGGGGGGGTTTATATCCAGTTGGGTGAGCAGCAGATAGTCTGTAAGCTGCAGCTGGGGGTGTTAAATTGCCCTTTTATTATTTAAAGGGGTCCTGGAATGAATGCGGCCACTCGTTTCACGCTGGTGCTTGACGCTGTCCTGTCTCACGGGGGCGCCACGTGTACAGCGGGGCAGGACAGACGTGCAGGTCTTCCCGAGGCGCCTCCCTGGCACAGCTGGGTGGCACGGGCGTGGCCGGGAGGGTTATGGAGGCGTTAACCGCAGCATGTAAACTTTGACACACATCTGCCGTCGGCAGGAGCGAGAGTAGCAGCGCCCGGTACCCCCAGGCCAGGCTGGGCTGGGCCGGGCCGGGGAGGGCTGGGCCTGGAAAGTGGTTCAGACTCCTGCAGAGCCAGATCTTCAACCGCCCTCAGCGGTCAGTGGTGGGTCAGATTACCCAGCGGCTTCTTTGTAACCATGTGTGAGGGACAGACTTCCCGACCGCAGCCTGGCCATTGGTTGTGCATTTTCCAGGGACGGCCACTAATATGGTTTGGTTTATTGTGAGCACTGCTGCCTGCGGACCCCTTGTAGGTGATGTGAGATGGACCCCAGGACGAGCATCGGGGGGTTGGTCACATCAGAGCCGATGGGAAGTGTACAGAGCCGCTGTTCCCAGTGCGGCTCTGTGTGACGTCCCCTCTCTGTCTGATTAGATATGGCACTGTGGCGATTAGCTCTCTGCTTCTATTTTCAGCTAGATGTGTGTGGAAGGAAACGCTGATTAACTCCTTCAAGTGTGGCTCTGTGAGTTGTTGGGTTTTACCCATGTCTCTGGCTCATAGGGCGCTTTTTCACCGCACCAGGTACCATACTTTTGGTACTTCGAGAAAGTACCAAAAGTAGGGTACTTCAAGGGACTGGTTTTCCACTGGCGAGACAGGGTGTTTTTTACTGAATTCCAAAAATAGCTGTAGAATATTATAGGAATGGACGATGTGTGATATTAACAAAAACATTGCATGTTATGCATGTCTAGAGCTGGGCGATACGGCAAAAAAAATTATCACAATATTTTTTCCTGTATTGACCGATATCGATAATTATCAATATTATAGTTTCACAATGCTGTTCCATGTAATAATGTAATAATCAAAATAATAATAAAAAATAACCCTATTTTGACAAATAGAATGAATACATTGAAATAAACAATATTAGTAAACATATTTATTTTCCAAGAAAATTTACTGTTTACATACAAAATTCCATTAAAATTATAAAAGGTTATTGATTTTCAAGTATTCAAAGAAACATAGCTCAAATGAACAAAACCATTTAATAACGTAATAATGTGCAAAACAGTATAATACTGCAAATATGTTAAAGGGCAAACATAAAATAAAGCAGGACAGAACTGACTGCAACAAGTGTCTCCCTCAATTCTTGGTCTCTTAAAAACTTTTTAAAATGAACCAAACAAAAAACACTTATTCAAAAAAATGCCAAATCATGGTTAGATTTTTTTGTCCGGCGCTGCAAAACATCACCACGCGTCACCGTGTCACATGGTACAAAATCCTTGCGAGAGCAAGACGACTTAAGACAGATCGTGCAGCACCTCTCAGCCGGCTGCACAAACTGGGACCGCCTCCGTGACGACACAACTTTGCCCTTATTGGCTGAAGAGTTTAGTTACACGCATGACGTTTGTATCCTGGGAAGTTCCAATGCATTATCTCCCGAATATCACGTAAAGCAGGGAGAACTGGCTTTCAGTTAATTTACCTGGTAAAATAAAGTTTAAATAAATTACATAAATGCTCTAATAGTACACGTAAGTTAGTGGTTTATTTATTGTTAGTTACTGTAATGTTGCGCTGCTTTATTTGTTTAATCGTCCAATCTGTGAAGGCGGCATTCAAGTTAGAATTGCATTGTACTCTGTACATGACAATAAAAACTTTGAAACTTTGAAATACATGTATTTGATCTTTTTCCCGGCAGCTATCTTTTTACACAGGGCCACTATACACAATAGTTTTTCTTTCACTGTTAACAGTTTGGATCAGGTCGAGTTGGTTATTGTAAAAGAAGTAATGTGCATGCAGGTGATATTTGTATAGATTTATCTACACCCTTCTGGCAGTGCTGCCATTGCAGTGAGGTCTCGCAGACTACGAGGAGTAGAAGTTGTTCGACTTGGCTGCAGTCAGTTTATACTCCACCCCTGCAGCCGCCAGCAGATCTCGCTCCACGTCACGTCAGCTGCAGACAGACCTAAGCCCAAGTTGAACGCACCCATTGCTTCTTTAAGGGAGGATGGGCAAAATTACAACGTCGTCGGTGATTGGCTGTTGTGTTGGCGTTCGGTAAGCCTCTGCTCGATAGGCGATAGGCCATCGAGTTGTCTGTCTCAGCGCATTCTCTAAAACTGAGCAAACTTGGTTGATCGAGTTTTAGAGTCTGTGTGTATCATCGTGATCATCCTCATTTTTTATCGATTTATGGACTCCTTTTTGCTTTATAAATACCCCAATATTTTTTACAATAAAATTACATTGCTAGAACAACACACTATATGCCTGCTGTCCAAGTATATTTAACAAAATACTTTTTATATTTCTTGTCATGCCATCCTGATTTTTTTTGTATCTGTTCTTCCGACTAGATCGCAGTTTATTATTTTTTTTACATCGTTGATCATTGTTCACAACTGTTTTCCGGGTGCCATTTCTATTGTTTCAGAGGCAGTGTATTTCCATATCCAATTGCCAATGAACACGTTTGCAAGTCCCACCCCAAAGAAGTACCCCAGCTCATTTGGCACTTTCAGTACTGGAACTTTTGGTACTAGTACTCAACCGGAAGTCAGTGGAAAAGCAAAAGTATTTGATAGAGTGGAAAAGTGCCCATAGTAACGGTGCCACATTGGATGCGGAATTTGCTGGTGGCTTCATATCTCACTGGTAACCCACCTGTGGGTTAGGCTTAGGGTTAGGCTTAGGGTTAGGGTTATGGCTAAGCCTCTGTTAGGTATGGTTCTCATTCTTATGACACCATGGACATGATATCAGGTGGTAAATGGCCTGAGTGTTCAGTGTGAATTTTTTCTCTCTGGTATTTTTGGAAATGTACATAGCGGATGTGGAGCGGGCTCTCCTAAGACAACAGCTGTGGTGTTTGTTCTTCTGACTGCCAAATGAAGGCCCCCTTGCCTGGCTGGCTGTGTTGTGTGTGTGGCTGACAGGGGATGTGCTGATGTCAGAGCAGACCTGGCTGGGTAGAAACTGCCAGAGGACTCGAGCAGAAATGCTGGATCGGGGATGAGGCACGTTGCAAGCTACTTATTTAACAAGAATTTCATTGTTGTTCGGAGTTAAAATGAGAGTTACAGCATAATGTTGCCTCTGAGGGGGTGGGTCATCCAGTGCACTGGGGGAGGGTCTCTGAGGTGGTCTGGGGTGGCGCCCTCCGATGGCCGCTTTCCGCCCACTGATCTCTCCCACTCCGGGCTGGACCGACCTGCGTGATCCTCATATTTTAATGCATTACACCAGATTAGCACTTACTCTCCCGCTCAGACAGACTGAAAGGGTTGAGAAAAAACACGATTCTCGTCTTTTTAAATCAGCCTGCGACAGGAAGATGTGTGGTGTTTATATAAACACAGGCTGGTATTGAAGGGGGAGTGGCTTTCAGGGGGACCCTCTTCCACACATAAGAATTTAGGGGAATCGCTCATATTAACGACTGCCTGTCAGCACGGTGGGGAGGGGGGTGGACTTCATGCTGGAGCTCTGGGGGGGCGGGGGGCATGACTTGTGTTCGCAGCCAAGCAAGCAGTGTTACCTTACACTGGCCAGTCAATGATTAGACGCTAGTTGTAGATTCCTGGGATGTTTGCCATGTGAGGCATGTTGGGGAGGGTGAGATGAAACCGAGAGTGAGAACTAGTAGAGCGTTTGTGAAATACTTTGGACGCGGAAATAAACTCCGGAATTAAGACGAAAGCTGCGTTAGCAGCAGAAGGAAGGTGGCGTATTCACATAACCGGTCCGTCAGGTCCATCGGCGAGGGCACTAGGGCACGGCCTCAGGCGAGAGCCCGGAGCATGGCGGGCAGGAGGAGGGAGGCGGTGCCAGGACAACGAAGGTGGGAGAGAATGTGTGACCTCAGAAGGGACGGCCCATGGGTGGAGCCTGCACCGCTGAAACTCTTGCAACACCTTTGGGCTTTTAGAGACCAGACAAGAGCGAGTATTGTTCAAGGAAGCGCTAGGGTTGTGGGAAACTTGCCGGTGAATGCTGAGCAGCCGGGCTTGCTTGGGCGGGCAGATAGCGACACTGGCAAGAGCTCCGCGTTCTCCTCAGTATCTTTTACGAAGGCGTACGATCCGGGGTGCGTATACTGGTCTTTCCTAGGTCGGTGTTGAGAACTTCAGAAAAGCTGGGTGTAATTAAAGTAAAATGTGTTGATAGACTGCTTGTTCTCTAAACTGAATGTGTTGAGGTTTCAGTGCTGAGCGTGACGCTTGTGGACTCAAGTGTGTTTGGGAACATCTCCGGATGTTGACTCAACATATGACAGTTTATTTGTATGTGTCCCTGTGCTGACTGTGAGGGGTTGGTCTGGCTTGTCACTGAGATGGTCTCGTTTGCTGGCTGGGTGTTTCAATCCCCATGGCGCGTGTTAGCTTCTGGCCCAGTGCCACGCTCTCTTTTTTTGGCAGGTCACTTTTCGGGATAAACGAGAGTGGTTTGGCCCTGAGACTTGTAACCCTTGCAGTTCTGATAACTCCTGTCTAGCCAAAGCAGAATGGCCTGGCGTCTTCTTCATATACTCTGCTGCTGTCCTAGCACTGTTATTTGCAAGCGTTTTGTTAAGTAGTACGTTTAAAAGTGTGAAGCCTCGTCTCTGGGAAATACAACCAGATAATTGAAGCATAGCTCCCTCCATGGGCTGGACTTTGTGGAGGTATTGAGTTGCTCCTCGTGGTACTAAGGCAAAGCAGACTGCGTAAAGGGACTGACAGTTTACAGCTGTCATTTATACGTTTTCTATAAATATAATCTACATGTGTGCTGTATAAGAGCCGATATGTGCCATAGGTGATAACATCTGCTGTGCGTTCGTGCTCTTTGATCCTGGCACTCTGACTATACCAGCACCAAGGAGTGTTTTATGCTTTCCTTAGTTGTTCCAGTGGAAACAGCTGGAGAACCTCTATTTTCGGGAGAAAAAGTTTGCTGTGGAGGTGCATGATCCCCACAGGTAAGAGGCGGTGTGGGATGATGCTCTGTTCATGTGCTGTCAGACCTCTTCAGAGTCATACTTGGCTAATTATTAAGTCGGTCTTTCTTGTATTCATCATGCTTAAGAACATAAATTAACAATTAGCTTTCAGCTAAATGAAATGTATTTATACTTGTCTTTCTTTTGGTCACTTTTCAGTTATAAAACTTTTTGTTAGTCTTTATAATTACACTATACAATTTATAAATAATGCATGTGCAGCTGTATAAGGTAGACTTCTCTCTAAGCCTAACCCTAACCCCTCTCTGAATGGCTCCATCTGCTGGTAGGAGGACTGTGACTCGACGCACCTTTGGGCAGGCTGGCCTGGTCATCCACACGTGGTATGCCAGCCACTCTCTTATCAAGAGCATTTGGGTGATGGCCATCAGTCAGCACCAGTTCTATCTGGACCGCAAGCAAAGCAAGGTGGGTCCAGCTTGTCCTTACTGCCCACCACACTGAATCCGTGTCTCCCTGAGCAGGTTTCACCATGGCTCTGCTCTTGCTGAGAAGGTTGGCTTCCTGAAGTGGATTATGGGTAAACAGGCATTGGTCAGGAAGAGCCAGTTATGGCCCGTAATGAGTCCTTGACAGGCTTCTGGAAGGAGTGAGGGTCTGCGTAGGAAGATGTGCCCTGCTCTCCCAGGAATAACACAGTGTGGGGCGGACAGTTTTTAAGCAGCGTGAGCCACGGGGGGGGGAGGGGGTAGTAGTCCTGTTGAAATTTTGGTCTGATCACGCCTGCTTGCTGTCCAGGTGAAAATCAGCACGGCGAGGAGCTTGGGCGACATCGCCATGGACCTGACGGAGTCGGGGGTGCCAAGGGGCAGCAAGCTGGGCATCACCGAGGGCAAGGACCGCCTCATCATGGCCAGCAACGGCAGCCTGGTCTCAGCAGGTACACAGCGGGGGCCCATGCCTGCGGCCCACCTCTTGGAGCGCGGACCCCCCCCCTCATCAGTTTCTGCGTCCTGTAGGCTCCATGGATTCTGAGGTGAATGAAGAGCAGAAGAAGGAGAAGATCTCAGAGCTGAGGAGGAAGGAGAGGGAGCTGCAGGGTATCCTGGACAAAAAGATGGAGGAACTGAAGAAGATATGCCTGAGAGAAGCTGTGAGTAGCGCCAGGCTTTCTGTATAACCGGGGGGGGGGGGGGGAGGGTGAGGGTGTTCAGGTTCCCTAGGTTAGGGCTTGTAAACAGTGATGTGTGCATTAAAACACAAGCTGCCCTCAGCCCTTTCGTATCTGTGGTCCTCAGTTTTCTGCAGTAACCGAAACAGCACAGGCAGGAATCACCAGCTGGTAGGACAGTGTTAGGAAACTGGGAACGCGCATGAAGACAGCCTGTTGATGGGGTCTGCAGTAAAAAACCTGCTTTGGTGGCTTTTCCCTGTCACTGAAAGCCACCTGCTGACTTCCTCCTGCTTCCTCAGGAGCTGACAGGCAAGTTGCCCGAAGAGTACCCACTCTCCTCTGGTGAGAAGACTCCGCAGGTGCGAAAGCGCATCGGCACCACCTTCAAGCTGGACGACATTCTCAATGACCAGGTCAGCACTGTGGGCTGCTCGCTGCATGTGCAGGGTTCCAGGAGGCTGTGCTAGGTGTGTCCGCATCTTAGTGGACCAGACTGCCCATTTCCGTGCCTCCCCAGGATCCCTACCTGAAGAACCTGGAAGGCAGGTTTGCCCTGCAGCAGAAGATTGTGGAAGCGGCCAAGAAACTGGCTACAGAGACGGAGCCCTGCAAGACGGTGAAGAGGAAGAGGAAAAAGAACCTGCTGGATGCCATGAGGAAGCTGCAGGAGATTGAGAATGAGATCAACGAGCATCGGATCAAGATGGGCAAGAAGCCGACACAGCGGGTCTCGCTGCTAATTGCAGGTGTGGCCATGGGGCCCGGGGACGATGGCAAGGGGTTGCACACATTTCACTGTTCCGAGAGTGAGCTGAATCGTCTTCACATGTCCTCTCTCTCTCTTCCGTGCTCAGATGAGACACTCACGGCCGAACTGACCTCGCTGGACAGCCTGACGCTGGAGGACGGTGAGAGGGGCTTCCCTTATGACACGCATGTGGCAGCCCATGCCTTTTTGGCCCCTGAGGGTGGTCCCTGACACTTCGCCATCCTGTTCCTCCAGGTGAGCCGGCCGGGACCCGGCGGCAGCGGTCTCGCTCGGTTCAGTACTCCCCGCAGCTGTCCAACGGGCCCAGTAGCGAGTACCAGCAGGACCGACGAGCCTCGGCCAATGAGCAGCACCATGACGTGGGCCTGGACAGGTAGGTCTGACCGTGGTCTGCGAGGAGGGCGGCTGGGGACACTTGTCAGGGAGCAATCCAAGGGCTGAAAGTCACCTGTTGAGATGCGACGCGATGGTGTTTGACTTTCTGGGTGGCCCCCCCGTGTGGCAGGCTGACTTATGCCGACGTGCCGGAGCCGTATTACAGCCACAGGGATGCCCTGTCCACACACAGCAGCCCCTGCAAGCCTTCATCCCGGCAGCCACGTGATTCTTGCAGCATGCCCCCGACACCCGTCATGCCTCGCAACGCTTTCAGCAGCATCCAGCTCAGGTACTCCCACCCCCCACGGCTCATGCTCTGCCCCGGCCGTGCCCCAGACAAGCACATAACCCCCCCCACCGCCCCGCAGGTCCGATGACGGCCCGCAGCCTTTCCGGCACCGCAGTGGCAGCCTGGAGTCTCAGTCCCAGCACACCAGTGACGTGGACCCGTACCAGCCTGGCTTCACACTGGCTCCCAGTCGCCGTAGCAACAGCACGGAGATCCTGGACGACGGCTCATCCTACACCAGCCAGTCGAGCCTGGAGTACAGCGCCCCCAGTGGTGGGGCCGGCTCTCGGCCCCGAGACCGCTGGCGCCACCGGAAGGGTAACGTGTACGCCAGCGCAGGCAGCATGCCTAACCTGGCACAAAGCGACTCGCGCTGCTACGGCTACATGACACCGGCGTGCCACACGCCGACCACCTACTACGTGACGGGATTCCCGCGCTATGCGGAGCCGGAGCCCTACGCCAACGGCGGCTACGTCTACGAGGCCGAGACTGAGGGCCACTACAACGTCAACCCGTCTTACCCGGCAGCCATCTACCACGGGCATGACCGCTACGGCCGCTACGGCGGCGATGAGGCTGACGGGCCGCCACAAAACCTCTATGCCACACTGAGGCCCCCCCGCAGCCGGCCCGCGGCCCCACCCCCGGCACTGCGGCCCGAGCTTATGGCCAGGAACATCCAGAGGGCCCTGGTGGAGGAACACCTGCGAGGCTGGTACAACCGCAGCCTGGGCAGCAAGCAGGTGGCACACACCTACGAGCGCGGCTCCCAGCAGAGCCTGTCCCCACAGGCCGTGCCCACCCCCTTCGGCCACGCCAACCGGACTCTGTCCAACTCCTCAGGTAGCTGGGCTGGAATTCAAACCTGATGCTAAGTGATTTGACCCTACTACTGCCTGGTATGTAACTGCAGTTACCTATGTGTGGTGTCACAGTGTCCTCGGCGGTCAGCTCCAGGACCTGGCGGGGGCACCAGGCTATGGGTCTGCCGGACTACGAGGTGGGGGTGGCTCAACAACAGCAGGCCTACCCTGGCTCCTACAGCTCCGTGCACGGCAGGTGAGCCCCCCCCCACCCCGCATCCTGATTCGCCCCATGTGCTCCTCTGCTGTCTGTCTCTTTATTGCAGGGTGTTTTCAGGGTGGTGCAGAAGTGAACATGTGCTGGGCCGGCCCGTATGGGCCCGCTCGCCCCCCCGCCCCGACATGCTTGTCCTTTCTCACATGATGGCCGCTCTCTTGTAGATTCAGCTCCTGCCGCAGCCCTGAGTGCCAGCGGCGGGGTCCCTTTGTCCCCGATAGCCCTTCTTCCTCTGCCTCCTCTTCCTCCTCCTCCTCCATGCTGTCCTCCCTCCCGCCCTCCTCTCCCTCCAGCACCGGCCACAGGCTCGACAGGCGTAATAAGCATGCCTATGCTAAGTTTAGCCCACGCTAGTAAGTACCCGGCTCCGGGCGCGTAGACCCTCCTGCCCACCGCCTCCCGCTGCCCCCCGTCCTCCTCGTCCTCCTCGTCCTCCTCGTCCTCCTCTTTGCTGCACTGTGGTTTGCTCGTCTGCCTGCTTGCAGTGCTATTGGCCCGTATGCAGACCTCTATGTGCTGCTTATTAGTTGTATTTGTATTTGCTCAGCCCTACCCGCATGGACGGTTTGGATGGTCTCTCCACTTTACAGTCAGTGTTGTCTGTCAGTCTGCCGACCCAGGCGGACCTCCAAAGCTCACGCTTGTCTTCTGTGTCCCACCCCACCCCTCGCATGCTCTCTGTTCTGGGCGTCTCCAACCCTCGAACCTCAGATCTCCCGCAACAGGCGATTTAGAAGGTTCATCATCTTGTATGACATGCGTGAGGATGTCCCACAAGTGCCTCCAGACTCTGGAGTGGTCTGCTGTGTGTCGAAGGGCAGTCCTTGTGACTGCGCGTGCCCTGTGATTGGCTGCTGCATCGGGCCCCTGTCTGTGATTGGCTGCTGCTGGTTTTTGCTTTCACAGTGAGAAGGAACATTTTAACCCCATGTCAGGAAACGGCTCTAATGGGATCCATACAGACTGCCCTCTCGGACAGGACGTCAACTTCAGTTTTGCAGCCGACGATGTGGGGTTAAATTGTTGAATGTTTAGCCATCTTCTGTTGATCTGTGCGTGTATTTTTCCAGAATCATTGATATGCTCCACATGCTCACTGCCTTCCCATCTGCCTTTGCAGGTCGTATGTAGACATGAACCAAATTGAGCCGCCAGTCGGCAGCCACCTCAGCAGCACTTTGGACTCGGATGCCCAGATGTTATACTGGCATGAGGACTCCAAGCCTGGAACGATAGTGTAGGGAGCCGGCGCTCTCCGAGGGCCGTTTCTATCCTCACATGTGCCTCCATGACAGGGGCTGGGATTTCTCAAGAAGCAGAGAGCCAAAGCCGACAGGACCCAGAACCACAGGGCAACACGGGAATCACAGAGCTGTGGTCTGTGCTGTCCTCTGGAAGCTGTGGTCTGTGCTGTCTTCTGGGAGCTGTGTACAGACAAACGGACAAATAAGGATGTTTTGTACAAGTTTATGTAAAACAATGTTGCTTACATTATGGAATGAAGGTGGAGCGGGATGTGGGGATTTGACCAGTAAGGACCGGATAGTAGCCATGACCATTTCCGCACCAGTTTCACGGCTTGTAGAGCCGTCAGTATCCGTCATGGAGCCATTGGATGGCATTATCTCTTCAATGAATGTTCAGACTTGCACATTTGCGGAAACTGGGAAAATCATTGCAGCCTGAATGGTGTCCAGCAGCGAGCAGCCCGGTTCCTGCTCCCCATTGTGTGTATAGCGGTAGACGGCACTGTTACGAATGGCACATGGCTGGCCGTCACACTGGCTCTCTGTGCCATCTTCTTGCCACTGATCCCGGGCCCCTTTCTGCGTCTTCTGCATTTCCGGGCCTGGCATTATCTGCATTCCGGCCAAGCAACACACGCCTTCAGGGCTGGACCAGGTGTTTGTCGGTTCTAGACTCTGATCATGGATTGAGTCCCTTTTGCTTCTTCTGAAGACATTCCAGCCTCTATAGCTTTCCTTGGATTCATTAGGTATATAAGAGATCATCGACAAGAACAGCCATTGCATCCCATGCTGGACTCCATGGACCGGTGCTCCTTTCTTTGAAGAATTTCCATGTAAATATTAACACTGTATATAGGATGTTTTTAATTTTTTTATTGTTTAGTTGTTTGTGAACTTTGTGTTTTAAAGCATGTAATATATAGTCAACTATCCCAATTTGGTAAGCTGGTTCTTAGAATTTGTATTAAAAGTCAGTCGAATTGAAGAAGTTTTAAGTCCTTTTGTCTCTGTGCTTGTCCAACGCTGACTAAGTGTAATCTACATCATGACACATCGCTCTCTTATAGCCTGAATTTGGTGTTTAGGTTTGGCCAGCTTGCATTGAGGGTGAATCTTTCGTAATGCCTGGCTTGTGCGGTGAGAAAGATGGCGATCGAGCTCTGCCTTCACGAGATGTGTGCTTACCTGAAATTAAATGGCAGGTGACCATGATTAAGCTGGACATGGCAGGCCTGGTCATTCTGGCACTGAACGGACAAAGTGGAACGTAAAGCCGGCTTCATTTAATAAAACGGGGGAACTGCACTGCGCTGGGCTGATTCTTATAATATGATTCCCTGTAAAGAATGGAGAAGTAATGAGTTCCAGAGAATCGTGCACGACATCCACCTTTTATGGGAGTCAACTTTAGTTAACATGCTACAAGCAAAACGTACCTGTATGCTTCAGGTGTGTGTGTTCTGTGATTTCTCCCGTTCCCACTGTGGCCTGCTTGACAGGTTTTCTTTCCACCGAAGAACCGAACAGACCAGTTTTTGGCCGGTCTGGCCTACTGCCAGCCCAGCCTGAGACCATTGTCCCACTTCCTGGCCTCTCCACCACACAAGGGCTCTCTGAGACCTCGCCCCCCCCCCCCCCCGTGCCTTCCTGGTGCTTCTACATTCCTTTACGCTTCTCTCCTTCACAGCACCCTTAATTTAACAGCTTCCGTCTTGTTTAGGGATACTGTAGCTTGTACCAGGACTTTTCCCTCTAAATGTGGGAACCAGCGAATCTCCCCGTCTGTCCGGAGGCAATGGGCTCAGCTGTTTCTGTCCTTCCAGAGCCTCCGCAGCCTCACCCATCTGAGCTAAGGGCTTGCTCTGCCCCCTCTGAGGCACGTGTCCAAATCCGGCTTTCCTTCCACTCCATAAACCTTGTTCACTTGCGTCATCCGTCTTCCCAGTGACTCTCCAGTCCTGTGAGGGGCAAGTAAAAGGGGTCTTGAGGACTGGGTGCCCGTGGGTCACTCTGGCCTGATGTTGGCAAAAGGCCTGTCAGGGATGGATGTGCCCCAAAAGGCCTGCCTATCTGGACAAATTCTCTGCAGAGCTGCTGTCTGCAAAGGCACAGGCCTGTTAAGATGACCCATGCAGCAGCTATACTGCGGAGGGAGGTGAAGGGGTATCACTGTGAGGCTGGCTGCAGAGAGAGAGTGTCCTCTGTCTCACTCTGATAAGGTGTAGCCTTTTTGGGAGGGGGCGGGGATTGCGGGGTGGAAGGAAGAAGGACAGCAGTGGGGGCGGCATGACTCATATCTCCTTGTGTTGTGACGAATAGGCCTGCAGATGAAAGCAACTTCTAAATGGCACTGTCAGTCAAGAAAGCATCCGACCCAGTGGGCACGCTCTAAGTGAACGTATCCAAAAGGGGCGAGCTCTTTATTTTATTTACAGTGATTTATTGTGTAGTTGTGCCCAAGAAAACCTTCAAATTTATTGGATTGCATTAGAAGTGTCAGAGATGACTTTTGTCAAAGGGGTCTCATGAAGCTTTTAAGACGTGGTTGTTCTGTGTGTGGTTAAACGACTTACAATATTAACAGTGATTTATGTCTGTCCTTTACCGGCATGTGGGTGCCACAGACCTGAAGCGACTCGGATTACGTTATGGTGGGGATCGTGATGGATCTTCCATGACGTGGCGTAATTGCCCACGCTGTATTTTAATCCACTGCGGCTTATTGATTAGTGTCAGTGAAAGTGATTGAGTGTAAAGAGAATATCACCTCAGAGACACTTCCAAGAACAAAGCATCTCTGGGGCTCAATAAACATTAAAACTGCTTGGCAGCTAACATAGTGCTGAATATTGTGGACCGTTAACCCTTGAGCTGAATTATATTTAAACAAACAGTAAGAGGTGTCACTAGTACAATTAATGGGTACAATTAATATTTTTGTACCTTCAGTTGCATAGTTGCTTTAATTCTGTGGATTAGGAGTATAGTGCATCAAGGCTCCCTCCTGAAACCCAGTAACATTCTTCTTTGCCATTATGGCCCATGCTACCCATAATGGTAGTCCTCCATCAAATAAGCATGACTCTCTGGAAACTGAAACAGAAGTTGTTCATTGCTTAAATTCCTCAAGCATGACAAAAGGCACCATTAACCCTTTGTTTATTAGCATGACCGTAGCATTTCTTTCACCTGAAACATAAAAATATTTGTGCGTAATATCTATAAAACAAAAAAGGAGATGAAATACTGTATACCCAAAATAAGTTCTGTTTGGCTATAGTCTATCTGCCAATAGAGTGTGTCAAATAAGCCGGTGGTATTGCTGCTACTTGTAATCAGGCACAAATCATTCTGACAAATGTAATGGGATTACAGCGCTTTGGATGACAGCATGTGATGCCTGCTTTTCAGTACTATGTGGGTGTTTACTTACGGACACAATTTGGTTAGCGGATTAGTTATATGCTTAAAATATTAATGAGAGGCATATTGTGACACCTGAAAGTATAAATTCAAATCTTTTAACAAAAAAATAGTTCAATTAGATTTTTACTGTGTGTGTCCTTTTTGTGTGGGCAATCAAATTCTTCTTTAGTGGTGTGTCTCTGATCTAGATGTATAAGATGTATTGTGCTTTCTGACTCCTTAAACGTTTCCCTACAGAAAAAAATATATATTTTGAAGGATATTTAGGGCACTGGAAACTTGGTTACCCTCTAATGATTAGCAATTAGCAGTAGGCAAAAATTTCTCGGACCTAGCCTATTAAAAGCAGATGTGAGTTAAATGTAAAGAATAATCCCGTTATAGAACAAGGCACCACTGGGGTGAGATCAAGTGATCAAAGCCACTGATGAAGGAAGATGCGTCCGTGAGCGGGTGGGGATGGTGCGGATTCGCAGCAACCCACTGAGGTTTCCTGAGAAGAGCAGATGGAGAAAGCAGCTCCTCCACGGAGCACCAGAGCTCCTCACTCCTTCAGTTTGCTCTCCTCACTCCTTCAGTTTGCTCTCCTCACTCCTTCAGTTTGCTCTCCTCACGGACGAGGTTCATTCACTTCGCCCGTGTCCTGAGACGTCTGCCTACCCAGCATCTGTATACTAATGTCAGTCTTTTTTTTAGAATGTCCCTAGGAGGGGTGTGTATGACAACACAGGACACTGCATGGGGGGGGGGGTCGTCATAACCTGTGCTTGAGAAAAGCTTTTGTTAATACAACTTTGATAAGAACCCGACAGAAACTTCCAGGAACCATTTTAAACCCTGGTTCAATAAAATGAGAAGGAATAAGTCAAACAGCCCTGGGGTTTCAGAAGGTCCTAAGATCCTACTCCTACACGTCTTGATGACTATACTCTCAGCCAGAAGGGTGAGGCTCAGACCCCACCTTATTCTATTTTTTATTTTTTTTTAAACGCCCTCCCCTTCCTGTTGAGAGCACTCAGTGCTCATTCCTTAGTTAAACCGTAACACATGATAAGTGGGAAAACTGGTTTCTTTGTCTCGACATTCCTCTTCCTCACAGCTAACAGCCCGAAAGGAAAGGAAGCCCCGCAGTATTCTGCTGCTGTGGTAGCCTACAGGGGAGACTCCCACGCCACCCTGAAGAGCCTGCAAGGGTGCCCTCTTATGGTCAGGGCGTGCCTATGGAAAAAGCACAAAATCAATGTCAAAACTTACAGACAATGGGAAAGATTATCCCAAAGAAGAAGACCTTGTGTCCCCCAAAGAGAGAAATCAGGAAGTAGCTGGCAACCATTAGAGCAACGACAAACTGTAGGGTTGTTCTTCCTAAAATTCTTGATGGCTGCCTTGTTTTCGCTACCCCATATGGAGCCCAGTGTGACCAGGGTGAGCACCGTGCATCAGCACCATGTCAACAGGGTTCAGGAACCTGCAAAGGAATTGCGGGAATGTCATTGCAGAACATGGTGGAAGCATGCCAGGCTCTCCACTGTCCAGCAAGATGTGAACATGCTGGCCATGACGGAGAGGAAGCACGTTCACTCTCTCTGGAGCTGCCACCTTTCTGTCCCTGATGGTCATCTTTGCCATCTTTGTCGCGACGATGCTCCTCACCAGCTCCTTTCCTGTCTGCTGCTTTTCACATGATGACTGGTGCATGTGACTCCACAGGGCGGATGCATTCCTGGTAACGTGATGGTTTCGCGGACACTCCTGGAAGTGCTATGAGGAACCGTGCCCATCTCCGCAGAAAAACAAACAACGCTATCTCTAGAGTAATAATTTCCGCATTAAATGAACCCTGCTAGTTTTGCTGCAGCAGGCCATTCCTGAACCTTCCACTCCTGCTGGTTTGTAAGGGCGCCTGCTGTTCCTCCCGTGTCAGTTTCCTGGTGTGGCATCTGCCAGCAGCTGATGGCTTCGGATTATGCCCGCCGGCTTTGCTGCCCACATCGGGCGCGTGTCGCCACAGCCAGATCGCCACTGCTGCCTATATTTAGAGAGAGTGACTCCACGTTTCCAGTCAGGGAAAAAAAAATAACCGTTACCGCTGTGACTGACTCATTCGAAATACATTCAGCGTAAAAACTGTTTTAAACTGAAACGGTGTCGGTTTAATATTGCTAATCGTTTCAGTGTCTCACTCTGAATGAATCACTTTGAGTAAGGTGTGTAACTTCTAATGAATTCCAAAGTTCTGCCAGTGAGAACATAATGCATTACGTGTCTTTAAAGGAATTCAGTTAGAAATAATTTCTAATTTTTACTTTAAAACAAGTTAAGAAAAACTTTTGGAATGATGGAAGAAATATGAATGTGCTAAATGAGTCCCAGAGCAAGGTGCAAACCACACAGACCAGGAAAATTAAGTTCTTTTTTAAATCATGTTTTTTTTTTCCTTTTTACACTATTGGTGCTGTGCCCAGCCCGCATGGCTGTAAGCACATGTGGACCGAATGTATGCATCCTGAAGCGCTGCGGGGCTCGGTGATCGTCCCACAGCGGCGCCCGCTGCGGCTTCCTGCTCTGCTCCGTCGCTTTCTGCTGATAGAGGCCTATCAGCCCAACACAGAAGCACTATTATAATGATGAACGTTAATGTCGGTTCATGGGGCCCATCGGGCTAAGTCCGCTAAACTGAAAGCTGTGAATGTCGCATGACGAAAGGCGGGTAAACGCTTCTGCCGTAACGCAAGCAAAGAAATGCCAAGGGACACCTGGGAACCTTTCGGCTGTCAAGTTGAAGACTTAGTGCATTATTTATAATTAAAAATAAATTAATAAAAGTATACGCCTAACATTTTAAAAAATCTACTTACCCCACAACCAGAAACACAATACTGCCTATTACTAAGTAATTGGTTTGATAGTACAGCAGCGGGTTTCCCGTAGCACTCGAAGTCATCGCAGGGCCTGAGGGGTGAGATCTCCATCCCCGACGTCGGCGTGGTCCGTGACGCTCGCATGGTGTCAGAGCCCAGCCTCAGAAACCGCACAGGATGCATGTAAGGCGGCACTCGCTCAGGTGTACGTCGGTATCGGTCGTCCAACATATATGTGGAAAATGAGTGCAGACTGACTTAATCCAGGCCTGATGCAGCAGGGTACTCCTCCTCCTCTGTTTATGCAGGAAAAATAATATTTTTCAGGTAGGGGAGGGTCACACCCTCAGTCACGTTTTCTTACGTAAAAAAAAAACTCTTTTTTTTTTTTTTTTTGCACACCTTGACCTGCCCTTAAAGTGGCAGTAGAATAAAACATTACCCCCCCCAAAAGAAAAAGTGGCTGCCCTCATCCCAATGTTAAGCATTAGAGTGAGTGGTTAGGCCACGCTGCCTGACTTAAGCTGCTGACCAGCAAGTGCTGGTCCCAGTCGCGCTGGTGCTTGCTGGTGAGAAGGGTGAGCTGTGTGGTGAGGGGCCACAAGAATGTCACTCTGCGGGTGCAGATGAGTGGTCTGCGTTTTTGTTCCTCAGCAGCTGGCAGACCTCCCACCATGACCGTTGACTGAAGATTAGGCACTGGTGGCTAGGGCTAGGGCCTGTGGATGCACTGCAGCACTGCTCTCTTGAGGGACTCAGGGATTGGCAGCTGCTGTAGGGACTCCCCCAAAATAGGGACTCCTCCGGAATCGGGGACTCCCAGCGGTGGTACAGCAGCGCTGGTCCAGGGCGGAGAGATGACCCTCACTGCTGCCACTGTAGGACCATCTTGGGATGCAGTGCCGTGGTGTTCTCACAGCGAGTCCGAGGTCAGAGCAGCATCAATAAGCTGTCTCCGCTCCACCCATTGGCAGTGAGCGCATTTGCCCCCACATGGATGCCAGGACAGGGTGTCTGCATTGCTGTGAAGTTGACCCTCCCAGTGCTGGATCTCACACTGGAATAACCGGAGCTTCTCCAGCCAGCTGGCTCCCTGGAGTGTAAGAGCCATGCTAGTCAGGAGTGGTTGGTCCACATTTTCTCTCAGTCTGGCTCAGACAGCGGCTATATTATCCGACGACTCGCTCTCCTCCCAGGTGTGTTTGCAATACTACCGGCCTAATTATAGCAACAAGCCAGGCCTTCACTGCTTCCAACTTGTCTGGGTCTGTAGCGATGTCCCGTTTGCAGACCATGTGGCCCAGGAACTTCACTGACTGCTGGAGGAGGCTCCACATAGCTGGGTTCAGGTGCAGGCTGGTGTGGCAGATAGCAAAGAAGACTTAAGAGCATAAGAACATCAGAAATTTACAAATGAGAGGAGGCCATTTGGTACATCAAGCTCATTCGGGGGGAACTCAACTAATAGTTCAGAGTTGTTAAAATCCTATCTAGCTCTGATTTAAAGGAACCCAGGGTTTTAGCTTGTGCTACACTAGCAGGAAGACTATTCCATACTCTAACTACACGCTGTGTAAAGAATCCTTGGCAGTGACCCTTTTCACCAGCAGCAAGCAGCAAAATAAGATGGGAGGGAGATTATTGGTGCCGATTCAGTGTTGCACTAAGTTGGTATGGATGTAGCCTTTGTCTCAACAAAATCAAAGATGTCTTCAAACTCACACAGTAGATTTTACAATCGACATTGCTCTGGTTCACTTAGTCCTTTGCTGCTGCACTTCAGCAAAGCCTGCACTGACTCTGCACTGAATGAGATCACGGGGGAGTGGCGTTTCTCATGAAGGGCTGTGCATGTAGGTGAGACAGTGGATCAACAGATCAGAAGGGAGCGAAGCAGGTAGGGTTGCACAGGACATCGGTGAATGCTGGGTTCCCTGTCATTGATGCTAGGGGATGAAGTGAGGGAGAGTAGAACTGTGTTTAAGTTAATACTGTTTGTATGTTCTCCCCATTGCCTCCTGTATTTCAGCTGTGTTCTTGCGTTTTCTTGAAAAGACATTCACTTTATTTCCATTTGTGTCTCTAAATCTATGGAAGTGCATACCCTGTGGTAGACTGTCATCAGATGGATGGAGCTTACTAGGTTTAACTGAAAATAAATTATTGGTCATCGTTTCTAATATTCGGTGACATAGGATTCCAAAACCCAATCCCGAACAAATGCTTTTACTTCTCACTATTATTAAACTGATAAGCTGAATAAGCCTACCATTCCTCAGCATGATACGTAATGCAACCAAACTAGTTGCTATCTACCAAGAAAGCCCTCGTGCCACCGGAGACCCCCGCATTTACCTCTGATTGGACCAGTCGGTTCGCGCGAAGCATGTTGGGAAAGCGGCGGATCATGGAAATATGGCGGATGTAGAGGAGCCGTAAGTATTAGTTAGAACAGAAGCTTCAATAGACACTGACTGGACGACTTATGCTTATCAGTTTCGTTTGAAACTGAGCGTGTATGAACCTTCTTTTACTCTCTCTTTTTAGGGAGAAGAAAAGAAGGAGAATAGAAGAGCTGGCTCAGAAGTTAGTGCTGAAACGATAGAAACTGACAGCAGGTTTGAGGTTATGAAGATATGGCAGTGCTGCAGACATCTATCTGATAATGAATTGGCTAGTGAAGCACTCAGAACTAGCTAGCTAATGTCTGAAATCAAACAAAGGCTATCTAAATAGCTAAACCACGATATGTCACAATGGGCTGTATTGCTGAATTCACACGATACTTCTAATTGCAGCCAGCCGTCAGATTTAATAAGACTTATATACTTCTTGCTTAAAACGTAATGTACGGTGATCTCAGATTTGGACAGGCTGTCTGCCAACATAACTGTGTACCCTGTGTACTCTGGCACATAGAGGGTAAATATTGACTTTTATGTATTCGCCAGTATAACGATGCACGCGAGAGTCACACTTTGGATAGCTTGTGTATCTCGCCCATCAGATCTACTGTGCAATTGAATATAGAGACAAGCTTAATAATTGCTAATAGTAAAATAAAAATAAGCATTTCAAATGGTGTGTTGTGCATAATATAGTATCTGATTAATTTCAGAAATATAATCTTGTGAATATTTTGGACACAGCGGGGCAAATGTAGAGAACAGACTAACGTCCACTAACATGCTTAAGAAATGACAGACGCCCTGTGGTCACGACAGAATCACCATCCATGGGCAAAGCTGTTAATTCTTTATGCAGCTTCAATGCCTCCGTAGATGTGACAAAGTATAATGTACGGATACGTGGGCCGTTTACAATCTGTGCCTGATCCTTGCCTCCGTTCCGCGCAGAATGGCGCTAGACGACGCAAACTGGGACGGACGCTGGAATCACGTGAGCAAGTTCCTGGAGCGCGCGGGGCCCTTCACGCACCCCGACTTTGAACCGAGCACCGAGGTGAGGGGCGGATGCCGGCGGCAATGAATTAACTGCGCGAAATAAACCGAGCTGAGTCTGCCGCGTTTGAAAAGGAAAATATAAAATGAAAGTGGCTTAGGCATCATACATCATAATAGCCTCTATTGCTGCTGACAGAAGGTTAACCCGACTTGGCATTTTGTGAGGAAACAGCGCATTTGCTGTTTGCAGTGGTCCCCATTTTTTGACTTTCTCATATTTAATGCACATTTACAGCATGTTACTGGAAAATCATTCTTCAGTACTCCTGGCAGATTAAATCTACCTGCCCCTAATCTTTCTTTTTAACAGAACCTCTGTCATGCTATCTGTAGAATCTGAGACTCCAGGAACAATGTGACACTTAAACTGGATCAGCTGTGAATATATGTGAATGTTTTATTTTCAGTTGCTCCAGTTTTTATTGGAAACATGCAAGATTCTGGTCATCGGAGCTGGCGGCTTGGGATGTGAGCTCCTGAAAAACCTGGTATGGCCCCTCTGGCTTTGGGCCGTCTCATCTCGGATTGTGATTTACTGTTTGTCATTTAGCAGAGCTGTGTTAATGTTATTTGCATTCGATATTCACACACTTTTTTTTGTGCATATTTAACAGTGCGATGGACAGATATTATGTTAACACATTGAATGTTCACTGGAGGATTTATGATTACTGCTTGCTCTTGTCTTACGTCACTGTATTATGAATCGGGATGAGTCTCTGTTAGTAATCGCTCAGCTGCCGTGTAGAAATAGACGCATCTTACTTGTCTGTGCTCTAGGAAATCTGTGTTGGATGTTGGTAAAAGCTTGTCCCCCTGTCCTGTGTCACTAAGGCTCTGTCAGGTTTTCGAGACATTCACCTTGTGGATATGGACACCATTGACGTGTCCAACCTAAACAGGCAGTTTCTTTTCAGGTCAGTGTTCATAAAAACCATTTTCTTTTCTTTGTGTATTTAAATGTTTATATTTCATGTTTTAATGAAACACCTACTTCTGTAATTATCAGCTCTCTCTTATTTTCATGGGTTTCTTTTACAAGGCCTAAAGATGTGGGCCGCCCCAAGGCTGAGGTGGCAGCTGAATTCATCAACCGCAGAATCCCGGGATGTAACGTGATTGCGTATCCTGCAGCTGCGGGGACGGTCAGCCCCGCCTTCCCTGAAATGTAACAGTCATTACTGACTCACTTTAAGGATGGGAGGGAGATTCTTCAGTACAGGTCCTGCTTTTCCTTAACCCAGTCAGACATTTTAAGAAAATCCAAGACTTCGATGAGTCATTTTACCAACGTAAGTACAGCCTCTCGTTGGTTTTCTGAAACATGCTTCACCTTGGCAGATGACTCACACCATACTGGGATGCCCTGACAGGAAGACTCTTAATATCCTTATGAATTCGCTATATTTTTGGCCCCGTCGTGCTTTCAGTAAAGTTTTGTTGGTGAGGCCAGTTTTTATATAACAGCACTTGCTGTCTGTCCTGCAATATCATGTCTCATTTCATTATGAATCCATATGTGATGTTATGAAATGGAGGGGGCCTAATTTTCAGCACGGGAGGTTTACGCCCAAGACCAGCCCGTTCTGTCTTCGTTTTGGGGAAACATTGAAAAATCGTTTCAGAAACTTCCAGTGATTAGCCATTATAAGCGATTAACTGTGGCACGTTCCCGGATTTAACCAGAAGGCCCCAGTCACAACGCAGGCGGTGAAATGCTCACTTGGCTCTTTGCCATGTTTCAGAGTTCCATATCGTGGTGTGTGGCCTGGATTCTATCATCGCCCGCCGGTGGATGAATGGCATGCTGGTACGCCTCTTTATGGATCGCCGTGTGCAGACCTCTGTGGGCGTGCCTCTCAGTGCCGCTGACCTGCTGCTTTTCCACTTTCCTCCACCAGATGTCACTGCTGACTTTCGAGGAGGGCGTGCTGGATCCGTCCTCCGTTATCCCACTCATCGACGGGGGCACCGAGGGCTTCAAGGGCAACGCCCGGGTCATCCTGCCTGGCATGACTGCCTGTATTGAATGTACCCTGGAGCTCTACCCTCCGCAGGTGTGTTTCTGTCTATGAAATAACCATCTTAAGCACCTCAAGGATTAGGGTGCGATCGATCTGTGTCAGGCACGCCCATATAAAGAGAGGATTGTTGGTGGGGGGTCTGGAGCCTGTCCCAGGAGGCATTGGGCACGCTCTGGACAAGGATGCCTGTCCATCACATATTCTCACACAAAATCACACTGTATCCAGTATAGAGACAGTGATTCTCCTACACTACCTGTCTTTGCACTGCAGGAGTAAGTCAGATGCCTGGGAAAACCTGGGCAGTGCAGTTATATGAAACTTTCAGAAATAATATTTTTCCTCTTGGAGCTTGTTTCTCAGTACGGAGGTTATTGACTGTTTTAGGAGGCTGAAAGAGCATCATGTAATCAGGAGGAGTAGAAGTGAGCTGGCACTGGTGTGGTGAATGAGAAGCGTCACGTTGTGACCATGAGGTTGTGGGTTCAGGCCCCCTCAGAGAGCTCCTCTGTTGTTGCTTTGAGATGCTGTCGTTCCCAATTGGTGTGACTGTGTGTAGCTTAGTGGGTAAGAAGCACTGAGATTGTGAATGGGGCCCCAGTGCCGTTTGGTGACTGTCCCTAGAAGGGAGCCTTGGCTGGTGTGGATGTGCACGTTTACTTACACGTGTCCTTTTCACAGATCACCTACCCCATGTGCACCATCGCCTCCATGCCCCGGCTGCCTGAGCACTGCGTGGAGTACGTCCGTCTGCTGCAGTGGCCCAAGGAGAATCCCTTTGGCGGTGGGTTTTCGGACACCGCCGCCCCCCCGCCCCCGCTGTTATACCTTAGGTTTCACTATAGCGGGAGTTTCCGGTGAGTGACGGTCCTGCGTTGTCCCGCGTGGCATCCCTAACCTCCACTGGCCGTGTCTCCCCCAGACGGCGTGCCACTGGACGGGGACGACCCCAAACACATCCAGTGGGTGTTCCAGAGATCACGGGAGAGAGCGGGCGAGTTCAGCATCACCGGCGTGACCTACAGACTGACTCAGGGTGAGCCCAGGGCAAGGTGACCCGCGGGGCCGGAAATGTCTGTATTATTAAGTGCTTTTCACAGGGAAAAATTACAATTTTCAGTCTAATTAGATTTTGCAGTATTGGAGATTAGCTGAATGAATGTGTTTGTGAGTATTTAGGCGAGTTAAGGTGTCTCATTCTGGAACAGTCAGTAGACTGAGCTGTAATCTCTGTTTCCCAGGGGTTGTGAAAAGGATCATCCCCGCCGTCGCGTCCACAAACGCCGTCATTGCGGGTACGTCCTGTCCGTGTTTGGAGTTTGCCGTGTTGTCCTTTTACCTGCAGTGGCTGCGAGAGCCTGTCTGTAATCAGCAGCACAAGGCGGCAATGTCGCAACGACATTTTGATAACATGTTGGTGTTTTTTGTTTGTTTTAATCCCCCCCCCAGCTGCATGTGCCACTGAGGTCTTCAAGATTGCGTCGAGGTTGGTTCTGGCTCTGTTTCCCGACTATTCCTCGGTCTCATTCCCCAGCTGCTTATTTCCGCCTCTCTTGGCTTATCTTGCCTTCTTTTCCGCAGTGCCTACATTTCACTGAACAACTACCTGATGTTCAACGACGTCGACGGCCTGTACACCTACACGTTTGAGGCGGACAGGAAGGTGGGTTTGGAGCTCTGTGGCTTCAGATTAAATGCTACGGTGTCCGTGGATCCGAGTGGCATCAGCAGGTAACTGGTGGCCAGTCTCTCCTACTTATTGCTCGGCTGCCGTTTCACATGCCTGTCTCGTTAAAGTGGACGCCGGACTGGCAGGGCGAGGGCTCCTCCTGCCAGTGGGCGAGGGCTCCTCCTGCCAGTGGGCGAGGGCTCCTGCTGCCAGTGGGTGAGGGCTCCTGCTGCCAGTGGGCGAGGGCTCCTCCTGCCAGTGGGCGAGGGCTCCTCCTGCCAGTGGGCGAGGGCTCCTGCTGCCAGTGGGTGAGGGCTCCTGCTGCCAGTGGGCGAGGGCTCCTCCTGCCAGTGGGCGAGGGCTCCTCCTGCCAGTGGGCGAGGGCTGCTCCTGCCAGTGGGCGAGGGCTCCTCCTGCCAGTGGTCCTCACGTGTTAATGCTGTATCCTCGGCTTTTGATGGGCACCAGGAGAACTGCCCCGCCTGCAGCCAGGTGCCTCAGGAGCTGCAGTTCGCCCCCTCAGCCAAGCTGCAGGATGTGCTGAACTACCTGACCAAGAGCGCCACCCTGTGAGTGAAAGGGGTAGTGCAGGGAAAGCTTTGTCTCAGTAGATAGTGTTTCTGTACCTTGAAGACTGGTATGTAAAAATGAACCGTTTTATTGCAGACAGATGAAATCACCGGCCATCACAGCCACTTTGGAAGGGAAAAATAAGACATTATATTTACAGGTGATATTTCTTTCTATTCTTGTCTTGGTTTTTTTTTTCTCCAAAAATCTGATAGATCCATGTTTTCTTTGTAGACCATATCCTCTATAGAAGAGAGAACCCGGCCAAATCTTTGTAAAACATTGAAAGGTAATCCAAGTCCTTCACCAACTGTTGGTTTGGACTTTCCTCTGAACATGAAATATATGCATTTCTGTATTTTTCAAACCCTGGGCTTATTTGAAGAGCATATCTAATGGACGGCCGCTTTTGTTTGGCAGAGCTCGGCCTGACGGACGGACAGGAGCTGGCCGTGACGGATATCACCTCCCCGCAAACCTTGCTCTTCAAACTCAGCCTGAGCACGTAGGCCGTCGGGGCAGGACCGCCCGAGCAGCCTTGCTGTGCAGTACTTCTCAGCAGAAATGCAGTGCTTACTAAAGGCATTTGTGTCAGTATAGCCTCTGTTTCCTCACTGTGATGAAGTGGGGGTGTATTTTACAGATTATATTCAGTGTTCCTGAATGGTCTGTTTTTAAAAACCATTCCTCAAGTCAGTAAATGATTAGACATTTCGCATTCATGTGTTACTTCCTGGTAACCCTAAACTGTACACATTTCAGTTTTAGTCGTCATTTAACTGTCGTAAAGCTACATAACGTTGAACCACTGTCATGTGCAAAGCGTCATTCATTTGCGCAGTCTGCCTTTTTTAACTATAGACCTCCACTGGATAAGGATGAGAAGACCGACGGGTGGATGTCGCACATTTATTTTCCATCTCACTTTTACACGTTTAACTGTACCCCTTTGGGCCTGTTTTCAATAACAATCTACAATTAAAAAAAAAATCTGCACTCCCTGGCTTATTTCTGTCTGTGGGGAAGGTGTGGGATCTACACATGGTTCTTTAGTTACAGGGAATGAAGAACAATAGTTCTGATAGCTTGATATCAGTTGTCTCATACTGGATACCATTCAGTCTTTGCTTTTTCTAGGCCCTTCCCAATAGAGTTTCTCTTAAATGCCTAACATCACATTTCAGCACAACAAACGTGGAAAAACGCCTGTTTCCCTTCATGCTATTAATGGGTTGAGCAAGACCCTCAACCCCCAGCTCCCTGGGCGCTGCTACGGGTGGCTGCCCTTCACGGACAACTTGTTATGCAAAGAGCAAGTTGAGGGAGGCGTAAAAAGAATTTCCCCACGGGGATTAATAAAGTGTTCATTATTATAATGTTCATCTCAGAGTTAGAATGAAGCCCACCATGATCTAATATACCACAGAATACCACGTAAAGTCATGTTAAGGTGATACTGTATCTGCATTTCATTAGTAACCTTTTTCTGACACGGTTTTACACGTATATACGGTTTGATAGGAAAATCGGTCTGGTAGCCGCGTGGCGTCCCTTTAAACGGGAGTGACATTTCACAGGAAGTGACGTAACTCGTCTGGTCGGTGCGACGTGGATAGGAAGTGGACGCCGGAAGATGAAAACACTATTTACACATTAGAGCTAATAACTCTCGGCGAAGTCAGACATGGCGTAACAGCGCCGAATAGCCACCTTCAGTACTAAAATGATCGTTTGGGGCGATGAGGACGCTCTAATAGCTTCTAGCTCGGACTCGAGGGCGTAACTCGCTAGTTTATTAACTGCATGTCGTCATGGGATGCTAACTAGCTACCCGGGTTATCGCGTGCGCCTGTACACTCCTTCCATCGGTTTGACGTTTATCTGATAACTACACGGAGAGCCATGAGTTGGTTTAATGCTTCGCATTTATCCAGCTTTGCCAAGCAAGCGCTGACGACCGCCCAGAAGTCCATAGACAGGGTTTTGGACATTAAAGAAGAAGATCAGTGGGGCGAGATAGCGGTGCCGACTTATGATGGTAAGTGAAGCCCTTCCTCCTCTGTATTTATTTACGTTTTTGGTTTCGGGATGCTTATTAACAAGCCTGAAAACCGAGCTCGTCTTATTTCTCCCTAGAGCGCGGCTGGTGGGGCAGTGGACCCTGCAAGCTTTTAAATATAGTTAACAAGCTGCAAAAATAGACATTGCATGCAAATATTTACATTATAGTCATGTTCGTTACTAATAATAGTTATTTCTTATAAGTCAGCAATGTTCTAATTCCGGTTTCCCTCAAATGTGAATAAACGTAGTAACTAGTGCAAATGTGAAGTAATTTACATATCTGCCAGTGGTGTAAATTATATAAGGCATGTATATAAGAGCTTTCAAAGTGAGACAATTTGGCGTAAGCAGCTTTATTAGAGCCCGTTTTAGCAGCAGCGTTATCAGCAGTTGTTTTAATACCCCTTCTTCCCATTGCAGACGTACCTGGGAAGACTTCGCTGAGTGGTGGCTGGGGTGTGAGGCAGTGGGACTCCCCCTCGCAGGAATGCGCGCCGAGTGTCCCCCAGTCCACCGAGGCCATCACTAAGCCTGTCACCCGCACCGTCGTAGACGAATCGGAAAGTTTCTTCAGTGCCTTCCTGTCCCAGGGGGACCTGCCTACTGCGAATACCCCCGGCGTGGTGTCTGTGCCCCCAGCCAAGTCTCTCAGGCCGCAGGAGGAGGAGGAGCCTGTGATTTTGGAGAGAGCGAGTTCTCAGAAGACAGACTCTGTGGAGCCGGGTGTCCCAGTGCTCACGGAAGTGGTGACTAGTGAACCAGTTCCCCCGGAACCATCAAAGCCTGTGTCCGTCACAGACATTGTCTCAGTAAATGCAGTTCCGGAGCACTTGGCTCCCTGTGCTGCTCTCACAAGCCCTAAGGACTCGGTCGCTGTGGACAGCGAGGGCGGCTCAGTCAGCACCAGTGCTGTGCCAGATGTCAGTGAGGTAGACAAGCCCCTCTCACCGCCCGTGGCTCAAGCCGTAGACAGTCCGGACGGCCCGGGGTCTCCTGGGCCCCTGGCATGCGAAGGCTCCTCAAAGTCACAAACCGGTCCCGCCAAGGACGTCCCACTGGACTCCAAAGACCCCAAACCGGAGGACAGGCAGAGCAACACACCGTCGCCCCCGGTGAGCACCTTCTCGTCAGGGACGTCCACCACGAGCGACATCGAAGTGCTGGACCACGAAAGCGTGCTGAGCGAGAGCTCCGCCGGCTCCCGCCAAGGGCCCGAGGCCAAGGCCAGTCTGAACCTGATGCAGAGCTCCTTCCAGCTGCTGTCCCCTTCTGCCTGCCCCGACTTCCAGCGCCTGGAGGAGTTCCAAAAGCTGACGGAGAGCTGTGGCTCCTCGGATGCCTTCGAGCGCATAGACTCCTTCAGCGTGCAGTCGCTGGATAGCCGCAGCGTGAGCGAGATCAACTCCGACGACGAGCTCCCGGGGCGGGCGTGCACTCTGGCTTCCGTCACCACCAGCCCCAGCACCCCTATCGCGCTGGTGCCCGGCGGCGCCGGGTCGGAAGATCAAGAGGAGGAGCAGGGTGAGGGCGGGCCGGCGGACGCCGCAAGGGAGCACACGCTGGACGAGAACGAGATGGAGGAGAGCGGCAGAAGTGCTACGCCCGTGAACTGTGAGCAGCCTGAGGAGATTCTGGGCCACGAGGATGCCAGTGTGGGTTGCAGGACTGCCGGAGATCTGGACAGGATGACGGAGCCGGCAGGCATGGGGGAACCCAGGGAGAGCTCAGGCTATCGGATTACAGAGCTTCAGAAGGTACTTACCTGCCAGATTCTCTTCACCGTCAGGAGCTTAATTTCCTCAGTTATACATAATTTCTTCCAGTAAAATAGAACAGGAATAAACAGACATCACTGCACCTATAGTTTATGGCGATTTTGTAGGGTAGTGTAATGCTAACGTGTCTGCCCTGCTTTTCTTTTAAGAAGGGGGATCTGAAGGGCTTTGGGATAAGTCACCCGTGGAAGGTGGCCTTTGAATCTTCCTCTCTCTGTGGCGAGTGGCATGTTTATCCCTGTGCATGACGGGTTTTCTCCCGCAGTCCATAAACATGACCTTGAATTGGTATCTTTAAATGTGTGTCTGTGTGTGTGCTCTGCGATAGCCTGGCGTCTTGTCTGGGGTGTTCCTTGTTTTGTCCAGTAAGGGATTGTAGTGTTCTGTGCTTCCTGAGAAAGGGACCTGGATGTACCGGAAAAAAGATTATGGAAGATAATTGGTTCGATGTAATGCACTCATTGGATTGTTTGCTGAGATTTTCTGTCCATTTCCTGCAGATTATTGATGAGCTGACAAGCCGTCTGGAGCTGAGAGAGTCACAGCTCTTGGCTCTCAGCAAAGATAAAGCCCGGCTAGAGGAGGAGTTTGACAACCTGAAAGAGTGAGTGTGTGACTTTACTCCACTCGGGTGTCTTGAATGTTGCTGACCAGGCTCATGTCTTGCTATTAAAACCATACTGAAATGGAGGATACACCCCATTGGTACCCAGGACCCAGGTCAATTGAGATGGGTTCCTGTTGCATGTTTCCCATGTGGCATAATTTAGCGTGATGCAGCTGTGGTCTTGTTGTGCAGTGAGATGGTCAATCTGAAGGAGGAGAACACTAACATTCACTCACTGCGGGAGGAATTCACCCAGCGCATCGCTGACTCCGAGAAGAAGGCCCAGCTGGCCTGTAAGGAGCGGGACTCTGCCGTGAAGGTGAATGTCACGTCACACGTGAATGTCACGCGTCGCCCTGTGTCCGATCACACGTGAATGTCACGCGTTCTCATGCAACCAGTCGTGTGAATGTCACGCTTCTCCCTTTGACCGATCACATGCGAATGTCTCACTTTGTCATGCAACCAGTCATGTGGGATTGTCATGCGTCCCCCTGTGACCGATCACACGTAACTGTCATGCGTCCCCCTGTGAGCGATCACACTTGAATGTCATGCGTCCCCCTGTGACCGATCACACGTTAATGTCACACGTCGCCCTGTGACCGATCACACGCGAATGTCTCACTTTGTCATGCAACCAGTCATGTGGGATTGTCATGCGTCCCCCTATGACCGATCACACGTAACTGTCATGCGTCCCCCTGTGACCGATCACACTTGAATGTCATGCGTCCCCCTGTGACCGATCACACGTGAATGTCACGCGTCCCCCTGTGACCGATCACACGTGAATGTCACGCGTCCCCCTGTGACCGATCACACGTGAATGTCACGCGTCCCCCTGTGACCGATCACACGTGAATGTCAC